GAAGATTAGAGATACCAAAAATGAATAAAGACCCTATTTTAAATTTTCATTCTAAAGTACCTTTAAATAGGTAGAATTGCCAAGAAACAGATGTATTGAACAATAGCCATGGAGTCAAGGGTAAAGTTATGTTAGCATTAAAACTTTATCACAGAATACGTAAGTGTTTAAGAAGTAAAAAAAAAATCTCTGAAGACAAAAAGCAAGGAATCTGTGATCGTCCAAATATGAACCTCTCCTTCTTCTCCTCTCATCTTTCCCCATCAGCTTTCTGGCTGGGGCTGATAGCAACAGGAGTCCAACACCTGGAGGGCCATAGGCTCCTCAGTTTTACTGTGAGGAAGAACTGTGGTAGCCACCTTTTCCAATGCACTGTTCACCTGCGCCAATAGCAAGGGCATGCAAACACCTTTGTATTTTATTTGGCTCATGATTTTTCTTTTAAATTTTAGTTCAAATGGGAGACAAATGAATTGTAATCCAGATCCATAGTGAAGTAGTCCTCCCTCTGTTCTGAGCAGCTGTGTTGAACATCCATGTTGTCCTGAACATCTATGTTATTTTATAGAAAATCCAATGGAAATGTATTTGTGTTCTCTCACGCGAGAGTTCCAGGTGCCTAACCACCACTAACTCTGCAAAGTTGTAAAAAAGGTTTGCAATGCTGTATTTCTTGATGGGGCAGATTTCTTTTTCTGCCCTTATAGAAATTCCTAAAGAATGAGATGGAGGTAAGTGGGCATGGGGAAATGTCCTTTTGGGAGGGGAAAAACAGCAGAATGTGCCTTTGTGGAGACAACCCAGTATGATTTGACCTCTGGGACCAGATCATTGAGATCCCCAAATCATCTTAATTCTCCAGGATTAAATTATTATGGCCTTAAATTTAATCTTCACTTGGTAGTGAAAAAAAGGCATCTAACACACCCCACTTTTCTTTATTTCAGTGGCATGTTTTGAAGTATTTTTAATTGTTTTATTGTTGTTGTTCATTCGTTCAGTAGTCTCCGACTCTTCGTGACCTCATGGTTTATCATTATTATTATTGTTTTATTATCTCAGTATATTTGTACACCATTCTGGTATCATCATGCATTATTTAATATTGTTTGAATTTTAATGTTTATAAAAATAAACACTATTTATAAATATTTTTTTATTTTAAAAATTAAACATGATTTAAAAGGAGTGACCAACATCTGCTGAAATCTAATAAACTAAAGAGTGTCCACAAATGTGGCAGGTTTCCTGTGGCATCCCTGCCCTTTGAATTTGAACTCCAGAATTATGTAGAAGAGAATGAGCAGAGCTAACACATGCAGCAGGTTTAAAGAGCCATGCATATACTTTGCAAGTGTAAATAAATTCTATTTTTGTAAGCTACCTGGAGCACTTTCGCTCTGAATATAGTTATATGCACATGCACTGATAGGCAAACCAACGGAAGCTATCCTGAAAGCCTCTGATTGCCTTTCTCGGTCTCTTGACAAGAGGTATTTTAAGAGAAAGTTCAATAAATAAGCATACTGCATGAGAGCACACAAGTGTTAAGCAGATTTTAGGCTTATTTTCTCAATGGCATCTTTTATTCCTAGTTCTAATTTCTAATAAAAATTCACAGCCTTTTGTAGTATAAGTACCTTTACTTACAAAACATCTCTGTAAATAGAAAGCAAAGGAGAGATGCTGATGTAGAGGACTCCCTCCTTGGAGTCCGAGAGTATGATTTGCTAATGATCATCCTGTGGCTTTCTGTGGTCATGAGTGGATTTGTACCCTGCTGTCCTGAAGGTTGAATAAAACGCTCAAAAACGCATCACCCTGGCTTTCTCAGGATGACTAGCCAACTTAAATTGAGCAGCTTTATATAATAAAACCATTTTTTGCTACTCAAAGTTGATATACCTTCTTCAACACTACTTGAATAAAGACAATATTGCAACGTTTATGTTCTGGTAGTCTCTCATTTGGGTGATTGCAGTGCGCAATTCATGTGTCTACCTTTGAAAATGGTCTAGAAATATCACTTCTAAGAGCTGGGCAGGGACTGGCCAACATTATTATTATTTTGCCTGCAAGCTGAAAATCACACTGCCTACAAGTGCGTTTTTGTGTCTTGTCCCAGATTATTTGAAAGTGTCTTCTGGGATATATACCTACCCAGATCCTAAGGTCGGAACCTTTACTTATTACTGTCAAAAGAGGTAAGGTCCTTTTACATTATGTTACCCTATAATGCCTTCCTCCAAGAGACACTTAATAGCCATTTTATGCAGTTTATAATTCTGCATAGCAACATACAAATATATCCAAAATGTACTTTGCTCCTGTGACCCTTTAAATATTACAGAGGCTAGAGTCGCCCCCGGGCTGAGAACAGCGGTATATAAGCACAGCAAATAAATAAATAAATAAATAAATAAATAAATAAATAAATAAATAGAGCAGCACTGTGTGTTCCAGACCAATAACACTAATCAGCACTGTAACACACCCTCAATTTTGACTTGAGCTATATAGCAAAAGTTTAATAAAAAGTTGCATTTTTGACATTAGTATGTTGCAAACTGCCTTTAGACCCCCCTGGGGTGAGAATGGCAGTATATAAATATAGTAAATAAATAAATAATAAGCTTCCCTTCAGGCAGAATTGAGTAATTTGGAGGAAATTACACAGCAGTGGTATTATCTGCTGAAAGCAAAAGCCACCCCATTCATACAATTCATTCTGTCTTCAATCACACCAGTGCATTTCGTGACTGACTTCAAGGAATGTTGCCATCTCGTTGTTATTCCAAAAGTGACTAGCTGACAGACACTATTTGTAATCCAAGGTGTATTTCACATCCAATTTTAAAATTAATTATTCTAATTTGTTCATCACTTCATATCAACTCAAGCCAAGGAAATGCATTTCATCTGTTTTTTGTTTTTGTTTTTTTATTTTAAAACTTGTAAAAAGCTCTGAGCCCTATCAAGAATTAGGAGGAAAAAACATAACAACTCAAGAGCACTGAAAACTGTGAAACCACTCACTAGTTCCCTATTTGGCTGGTTTACAACTGCTTATAGTGTCAAACTAATTCTAACATTGGATTTTCATTTTGTAACCAGATTAGATTAGTGTGCCAAATATGGCATGGTTTGGGGTTGTTTTTGTTGTTGTTGTTTTTTTTTTTTTTTTTGGGGGGGGGGGGTTTGGAATCAGCATTTTCAAGATCCAGTATCAAATTTGAGGTCTGTAAATGCCATCTTAAACCCATCTTCCTGTACCATACTCTGGGTAATTTTACAATTTCTTCACAAGAGAAAAATATTATATTGCTACTCTGCAAAGTCTTAAGAGTGGAGTATTTCTGGAAGACAAAATATGATTAACCAAATATCTGTTTTGGCAATTAGGATTTGGCTTGGGCCTAATGACCAAGTTTGAGGTCAAAATGCCATTTAGCAAATTAAAGTGTATTTTTGCAAAAAGACTGCCTAATGAAAAGAAAAAGAACAATGCTATCTTCTTCATCGATTTAAGTTGGAGATGGGAATACACAACAGGCCACAATGAAGCACACTGGGAGATGCAGTCCAACAACCTATGGAGGTCTGCCTGATTCCCACCCTTGAAAGATATAATATGAATGATCTACTTCATTCTAAGTTAGAGGTTTATGGCACAGCTATATTCAGATGTTACAGCACATTGTCCTTTGAACTTAATTTTCTTTCATAAAGTTTATCCCCCAATTAAATTAATCTGTATTGTAAGATTACTCCTTATATAAAAAGGCACCTTTTGCAGTAACTGTAAAAACGTAATTTTGTTTTGGTGTTGGTACCTGCAAGTTCATGTCAAATAGAGTCCTTTGTTGGGTGAAAGGTAGGATACTTATCAACTTTTAAAAAAAAAAGGATGGCAAACTCATCTTAAGATGTTTCCCACAATATTCATTCAGAGAAGGTTCACTATTGCCATCCTCTGGGGCTGAGAGTATGTGACATGATCAAAGTCTCCCAGTGAGGATTCGATTTCTGGTGTCCTGGAGCCAAACCTAACACTCAAATCTTTTACACCACAAGATGGATTTTACAAATTAATAGGAGGAATTAACACTCCCGTGGTGTTTGTTTTCCTGTCTGTGCCTCTGTTCAGAAGATTTCACCTCACTTTCTGTTCCTGTGATAATGGTATTTTGAAATTTTTGGGTCATTATGGGAACTTGAATTAGTAATAAACCCCTTTCCCCCATGATAACTCTTCCGGGAGTGAATTTCCCTTCCAAAGGGTAAATTTCTCTCACTTCCTGTTGTTTCATCCCTGTTCTTAACTATGAGTCATTTGAAAGTCAGATGTCTGTACTCGGGGACTGCCTGTACTACCATAGTAATTCTATCAATCATCTCTTTAGGTCTGGGGTGTTGTTAGATCATCTAGAGCAGGGGTCCTCAAACTACAGCCCGAGGGCCGAATGCAGCCCTCCAAGGTCATTTACCCGGCCCTCGCTCAGGGTCAACCTAAGTCTGAAACGACTTGAAAGCACACCACAACAACAACAATCCTATCTCATCAGCCAAAAGCAGGCCCACACTTCCCATTGAAATACTAATAAGCTTATATTTATGAGAATTGTTCTTCATTTTAATTATTGTATTGTTTTAAAGTGCTTTAAAATAAGATATGTGCAGAGCGCATAGGAATTCATTCATTTTTTTTTTCCAAATTATAATCCGGCCCTCCACCAGTTTGAGGGACTGTGACCTGGCCCTCTGTTTAAAAAGTTTGTGGACCCCTGATTTAGAGACTATGCATTGCAAGGCAAATCTTTCTACATCATTTCACTAAAGTTAGAAAGTGCTTTTCTTGTGTATGAATCAAACTGTATGTCACATGTATTACCAAGCTTACCATATGTGAAACTTCAGTCATAGGTGTGAAGTCAGTGTTGTTTCTTTTATCATTTTGAAGAGCATGTACCTGATTCCTTCAAAGAAAAAAGTACCCAAAATAGTTTTCACAGACACATAGGTGTCATTTTCACTTTATTTAAGGAAAGGGGAACAGTAATTTTATAATACACAAAAGACAAATTAGACAGCACTGCAGAAAGGCTGAGTGTTTCATGGCCAGTCTGCTTTGCAGCTCTACAATTAGTACTTTTACTGTAATTTTGTCATTTGTATTATTGTTTAAGCATCTTTATAGTTGGCAGAGTTTGGGGTTATTTTAAAAAATATCACAAAAAGGTGTACTACTACTACTATGAAAACCTAAACCCCACAAAATCACTTTGAAATAAACCATAAATATGTGATGCACATTAGTGTAACAAAACCATTTTTGTAAACATTTTCTCCAACATAACAGGTGCATACGATAAAAAATAAAGTCACTGCAGTCATACAGTTAGAGTTACTTTGACTTAAGATACAGAAAATTATTACTTAAAGCTTAAAACTAAACTAGGAGTATTCCTTTATGCTTACCAACAGCACTGCTTTGAAAATGGATTTCAACATTTTATTTTGTAGTGGTTTCATAACACTGATTCAACTTGCAAAGTCAGCCACCTTGGCACTTGTGTGGGGTTTGGGGCAGCAAAACAACAGTGCCCAAGAGCAAAGTCATCCCCCTTGCTTTGCGGTGCACAACTTTATCAGGAAGGAAATTGACCCAGAAGTAGTCCTCCTTATTACAACACTCCTACATTTCATGAACAGTAGTATTGATATACATGTATCAAATCGATCAATCAAGGTGGCATGAGAGGAGACAGTAATAATTACATCACTTTTTGTGCCATTCTTATCTTTGCCCTCAAGGCATCCAGCCAATCAGTCAGCTATGCTGCAATCTCCAACGGAAGAGGATGCCTATTGTCCATATTGGCATTGGCCTTTGGGGTCCCACTGGTTTTCTGTGAGACAAAGCCGAGTTGCTGCTTGGCTGTTTGCTAACAGGAACAAAGAGAAGTACATGTAACTGCAGCCTTAGCCCTGATATTGAATGCACCCCAAGAGTCAAGCATTTTTTTAAAAAGAGATCAAGAGAAAGAGAGACTTCAAGAGGTTTCTCTGCGTTCTTATTTGTTTTATATGCACACGCCTACTCCTGGGGAGGGAATGGGGGAATCCTCCTGCTCTTCCAAAGAAGGAGTTTAGTAAAGGGCCAGAGAGAAGAACAGTGGTTTGTTGTCAAAGGAATGACTTACTGAGCATTAGGCTCAGTTGGTTCTATTCAATGGGAAGCCAAGCCATATGACCAATCTCATCTCCCCTATCAAAGCATTCTGATTGAAGAAACACATCTGAGTCCCTACCTGTCCTACTATCACAACAGAAGTTACAGCCCCATGAAACATTGGAATCCAATTCACTTACTGAACAGTGAGCTTAAGGCAGCCGTCAATAAAGTACTCCAAACAGAGTAAAAAAAGTTTTTTTAAAAAAACCCATAATGATTGAATCATGACACTGTGCATTATCACACCACCAACAGATAATTAAACACTCAAGTTTTCTCAAGTAATAAACACGTGTAGTCTTTAAACAAAGTATTAGTCTTGAGACATTTATTACAAAGGCCAGAAACTTATTGATAAAAACAAAACAGAGGTTGTTGGTTTGTTTCTTTCTTCAAAAAGGTGGGGCAGGGAAAAGCAAAAGAGAGCCAAGAGTCTGAATTTTACACTTTAACATAAGTATACGCTGCTTTCTTTTTTTAAAAAATGAATAAGCAGTATTAACTACATTCTTAAAATAGTTTTAGTGCATTGCATTATTAGAAAAGGAAAATATCGCTTCCCCAAAGTTTCCTACAACATTTAAGAAGTTATAGAACTAGCCTAGTTTTTTATTACTTGCCTGTTACTAGGCTCCACATGTTAAGAGTAAAACTTTCCAGATTTCAGGCTAAAATTCCTCTTAATTTCCATTCATGATGAAATTGGTAAAAAATAAAGTGAAAAGTTTGCTTTCAAAATTTTAAAAAATTGACTACTCAAACATCACTGCGTCACTGGCACAAGTCTAATTCAACCATCTCAAACGACTGCTGGTCTCTCCTGATGAAACCTGGTACAAAATTAACAGTCACACCTTTAACCTGCTAAAGTTTTGGTATTATGATTAATTGGACATTATTATTAGCTCACTTTAAAAAAATGGTATAGACCTAACCACCTCTTTTATCGTATGTATTAGAAATAATGAGGTAGGCACAAAAATAAACATGTTTGGAATTTTCTCTCCCCAAAGGCTACATGTGCAGACTGGTAGTAAAAGTTGTTGCACATTTTAGGTTTAAACAAAAATTAAACCTTTTAACTTAGGCAGTGCTAACACTGACATTACCAAGTATTGGCCTAATGACAAGTCATCATAGAAAAACGAACAATTCTATTATTTATTTATTCATTCATTCATTTTATTTTTAAAAAAACCATCGATGTGTGGTTTTCAGGCAAAACTTGGTACATAGGAAAAAACAAACAAAAAAAAAAAACCAACGGACTAAACTCTTGGCCAAGCCAAAACTTCAAACAGAATTCACCCCACCTCCCCGAAACCACTGTGCCTTTCACATTTTATAAATATTAAAATTTAAAACCTGTGTCTTCCTCTCTGCTCACATATTGTCACATTATAAAAGAAAAAAACAAAGCAGAAGAAATGTCAATTAAATACATTGTTAATATTACTATCTTAGATCTGCCCTCTGCTTCAGCAACACTGGCTCCGCCTACGTCAACCTCCTGCCACCTTCTTATGCCTTGCCTTCTCTCAAAAACACATTTCTGACCAGTCTCGTCCTTTTATTTATTTGTTTCACTTGGAAATCTGGAGTTAGGAAAGGAGGAGGGGGAGGGGGGGAGGAGGAAAAGGAAAGAGACCTGATTCTTTCTCTAGTGGAATCCCAAACCAGATAGCACCTGATGGCAATATCTGCACAGCACCAGCTGCACACTGCAGCCTCAGTTTAAAAAGAAAAAGAACCCAACACCAGTGATGCCTGCACACGCCATGGCATAGGGCACTGCATCACGGCCGGTCTGAACTCCAGTTGCAAATGATTCCAAGTTATGAAGACTCCAGATCACAGCAATCCCGCAACAAATTTTCTTTTGCTTCTACCAACTCAGAAGAGAAGTCCGGCCTAAGGTCATGAAATAAACCTGACTGCTTCCTCCAGACCGTACAGATGCAAAGAAAACCTGCAAAGGAAGAGACAAAGAGAAAGCAAAAGGTCTCTTATCAATGGATATCAGAGGTAAACAAAGCAATAGATGTACGAACAATGTGCATTTAAGCCAGTTGGAAGTTGTTTGCTTGTCATTAAAGAAGTTTATTTAATTTGTATCAAAAGTATTGCATAAGTAAGTATAAAACTGATAAAAATAGAAGGATCATAAGTAGCTAAATATTTTTGACCAAAAATGGGCAACAGTGACTGCATTATCTGTAGCTTTAAACAATTCTCTCTCTGTAGATGAGGCAGGACATTGTGGACAAGCATACAGATGTGGAGTTGTCTACTCTGTTCCACAGTTGCACAAGGTGGAAGATTCTTTTAGGTAGTGCCATTTTGCCCGGTTGTGTTTTGTTTTGATCTGCCCACCCTGTTCAGGGACTTCCACGTTGCTCATTCTTGGTTTGCCTCTGGAGGAAGACCCTTGTGGGAGGCCATCCAACTGGGATTGCTGCCCAGAGTGATGCTCTTGTTGCTGGGGGAACATTAGGAGTGGTGGTTCTCATGAAGCTTTTCCTTGATTTGGGTCTACTGGGAGGAGGCTGATAACTATGCAGTGGATGGCTTTCATAGTGTTCAACCTAATTTCTCTCTCAGTTAGCAGCAACTTCCTGTTGTACGTTGCCGGGGGGGGGGCAATGCCTGCTAGCTTGTAAACTTTATCAATAGGTGTAGGTTAGAGACATCCTGTGATTATTCTGCATGTTTCGTTCAATGCTATGTTCACTTAATGAGGTGTTTACATCAATGTGTGGAGGGAGGGAAAGTCATATAAAAAGGACTCTCCCTTTGATTATAAAGGTGGGGAGGATAGGCAGGTGATACACGGCAATTCCTATTCACCTTAGTCAGCAGCCCGCCTAAAAACATTGAAACAGCCACACATTCTCTATCTCTGTGTTATGCAAAATCTTTCTGCTTCCCTTCTGAAGAAGAGCATATGACAATCTATTGATACAAGATAGCTTCCACGTTCCCACCCTTTTCTACAATTATTAATGCCATTTATTATCAATGCTGAAACCATAGGTCATTCACATTCTCAGAAATAAAAATCCAATATATAAAAAGGCAGTAATAGAAAAGAGCAACAACATAAAACAATATGAAAGGACAATAATATAAAACATTATAAAAGTACTACATACTGACATATCTTGCCTATTAAAATCTAATATTGTTAAGATAGAATATAACATCAAAGATACAATTCTTCAGCTCAAAGCATCCCTTTAGCTGTCAACTATAATGTTGGCACTATGTTTAGCTCAAATTTTCATTGCTGTCAAGGTGAAAAGAGAAACCTTGCGAGTTACCACAGAATTGGAATCACACAGCAGATAAGGAATCTTTTTCTGACACAGTATTGCTATGTAAGTTACACAGAATAGATACCAATAATTTGGATTTTGATTCTGAATATAACGTACAGATGAGTAAATAAGTTGGCAAATCCTCAATTTCTGGGACCCCGCAAATACACAAATGGAGGGCCAGAGAGGTATGAGTATATCTGCCATCAATCACAGCTGTAGGAATGGTTTAAATATGAAGGCAGTAAAAGCTTGCCCATGTTTATGATATGTACCAGTTTCTGAGTAACATACCCTTTGATTGTTAAATGTAAATAAGCTATGCAATTTTGAAAATTTTGAATTATTAACAACCTGTCTCCCTTTTCTAAAATGACTTTGAAACCACAAAACTGAACATCACGATTTGAAAAAACATACCGTACCTTGTCATTACGTTCACATAGAAACTTGAGTCTTTGCGCCCTTTTGTGCATGAATACACCATCCAAGTGTCCTGTTTCCACTGATCGTATCTCAATAGCCTTTTCTCCCCAGCCCATAATTTGATTGGATCGAATATATGCTTTACAGCAAAAACAAAGGGGATAGTAAGCATTAATCGTCACCACAATACATAGCAACAGAAAGTGAATTCTATCTTGTTGAGTCTTAAGACAATAGCCTCTTAAGTAATAATAATATACAGTCAGTCCTTCATGTTTGCTAATGTTAGGAGCATAGCTCCTTCACAAAATTAGGGAAATGCAAATTAAAAAATCTACTTCTTCTCTGAGCTAATAGCTCTCTAGAAAGCTCTACATTCTCTAGCATGAGCCAACTTCTGACAGAGGTTGGGCATAGAATTGAACTGGAAGAATATTTTCTATCCATGGATGGCTAACTCCATAGATAGAGAATCTGTGGATATGAAGGGCTGACTGTACAAACAGAATTATGGTGATTAAAAAAAGAATGAAAATGATTTCAGGATTTTAGAATGCAATAAACATAATTGCTTTTATCTAGCTTGAATATACATGACAGGCCCCCTCACAATACATGTCACACAGCGGATCTGTTTAAACAACTAAGTAATTGAATTCAATATCAAACAAACATTTTAAAAGCCCACCTACTTGGCTGCATCACTTTCCTAACAGTATAAGTCATTTGGAAATCTAAGTATACATACCCACTGATGTAGGCATTTCTCCCCACTGTAGAACGACGTCTTTTGTGATCCTTCCATATGTATTAACATATACGCCTTCATCCTCATAGCAAACAAGTAACTCCATCCCATCAGTGTTTGGCAGAATGATGATTGCATGGGGCTGGATACTACTCTGGATCTGCAGACAAACAAGATACAAGTAAGAGCTCGACATGCTTTATTTATTTTAATTAAGTTTATTAATGAAAATATTTATATTCTACCCAATTATCTGAGGCTCACGGGGCAGCAAAAAAAGTTATGAACAATTCAAAATAATTTAAAGCAATACAAATAATTTGAAGACTGAAAGAATATTAAAACACTTACTACTTAAAATGGGACAGTTCAAATACAGTTAAAACAATTAAAACAACCACATAAACAAATCTAGAGGAAATCAATCATACCCCAGAACAATCATGTTTTTACTGGGAACTGGAATGACATCAGTATTGGGACCAACTGGTCCATACTGATGCGTGTTATTGTGGTCTCAGTTATCTATAGTTTCAGTTATCCTCCATGGATACAGAGGTCTTACTGTACTATGATTTCTAGATAGTTTATGTTTTTCTTAATAAAATAACATGAATGAAAGGAAATATTAATTTTAAAAAGCTGGATTCTTACATGCGTTGGGAGGTAAATATCATACACTGATCCTGAATCCACATCAACTGCATGAAATCCAGCACAGGAGCCATAGATCACCTTCAGTCTCTGGCCTTCTTCTACGGTAAGATCCACTAATAATGGTTTATGTACCAGGTCTCCAAATGACTACAAAAGAGTAAAGAAAACAAAAGTGTAGTTAAGCACATTACACTCAATTTGGTTGCCATTATAAATGAAGGGATAGTTAGCTTGAGGATGTGTCTCTAGTAGTAGTTTTTCCTCACCATTCAGGGGAGAGACTGAGAGAGAGAGAGAGCACCAAGATTACTCAGTACATTGCATGACTCAATGGACAAGGACTCAGATATCTCCCAGTTTGACAATTTGTCATGTGCCTTCAACTCATTTCTGAGTTATGGCAAACCCAAGGCAAACTTATCACGGAGTTTTCTTGGCACCATTTTATCACCAGAAAACTGCCCTTGCCTTCCACTGAGGCTGAGGGAGTGTAGCTTGGGCACCAAGTGGATTTCCATGGCACCAAGTGGATTTCCATGGCTGAACATGGGTTTAAACCTCCCCAAGTTTTAGACCATCACTCAAGCCACAACACTGGCTCTCTCACTTGCATAAACAATCATAAACTCACTATTACAGAATTTAAGGAATTACTGAGACACTATGCTGGATTTGGATTTTTTTACTGCTTCTTGAAAACATACTGAAACAAGAACACAAGCAACATATAAACACTTTGTTTCCATGTGCTCCTCCCACATAGTCCCATCTTGTAGGTATGCACCCTTACCTTAAATGCCATGAATTTATGGTATGGTTTTGGTGCCCATGCGTAGACTTCCACAGAACACTTCAAAGCAATGACTAAGAATTTGATTCTTTCATATTTTACTGAAATTTTAAAAGTGAACATTAATTATATGCCACAAAAGAAGTAAGAAGAAAAATACATTGATTCTTACAGTGTTGGAGAAGCTGCTAACACTGAACAATAATACACATTTCAATAAGTGACGGGAAAGGATGAAACAGCACATACAAGATTTGACAACTAAAACAGCTATTACAGCTATTTAACTACTGTCATCCATCAAAAAAAGAAGAGGTACGATTTCTTTCTGTCACATAAAATTCCTAATTCAGTCAACAAAGTGTAAATAACATTTACATTTCTTGTATCCACATGGATTAAGACCATCACTTATTGAATGGAAAGAGCCCCAACTATTAGAAGCTGTTAATTTGGAAGGTTATTTTTTAAAAGGAACACAAAATATAGTATCTAGGACAGCAATGTACGGAAGTATAGACATATTAAATTTTTTTAAGGGATACTTCCAAGAAGGTTTTTGTAGGTGACATATCTAGCAGGACATTGCTTAAATAACACTCGTGGTTAAGTGGTGGACAGCTGGTTCAATGATTGCAAATGATTATAAATGTTCATAGAAGAGGCAGGGAAATATATAGGGAGGAGCAGGTATATAATGGACTCAAGCCAAAACAATGATTTTATGTTCCAACTAATACCAGGCACCAATGGGTTTTTTAAATCTACAACTTTCTTGTTTTATAAGGAGTCAGAGCAGAAATAATTTCATATTTTGTTCGTATATTTTGTAGACACATACATGACAAGAGCTTAAACTGCCGCTCTTTGAAGATCCCAGGTGGAGGAATTCACCTATTTAAAAGGTGGTAGGACTCTGTCTAGCCCCCTACACCCCATTTAACACAATATCCTTTTTTTAAAAACTCAGGCTGGATTGCCAGTCACTACTGGCTGTGTGTCTCCTCATTTGTTAATACCGTTCATATGGCCCAATGGAAATCATGGGGGAAAATAAACCAACATTCCTATTCTGTCATAGCTGTCCACTCCTCTCTACTGAAAAAGAAGCTCAGGTCATTTTTATTTTTTTGAAAAAGAGAAGATCAATTTTTCATCTGGTTTAAATGGTTCCACTGACTTAGTTATTCCCTGCCATGTTCAAAAGTGCTAAAAACAATCTAAGGAAGAGAGATGTGCTTCTCCTTCTATTTGGAAGCAGATCTAAGAGCCTGCTAAGAAATGTGATGACAGCCAGACAGTGGAAAATTGGCACATTGCCCTCAACTGAGACATTCCTGATGGCATGTCACAGTATAGATAAAAGAAACACAAGAACGTTATTCCAACAGTTGATATCCTGAAAGAAATGCCATATCATGTTCATATGGGAGGTGTAAAAGCTAAGCAGGATTCATCAACAAGCAGCTTCTACTTTAACTAAACTTTTCAAGTATAGGTTTCCCTCTTAATGGACTTTCAGAAAAAGCTCAATGAGGTACGTACCAACTTTATAGTGCACACAGCCTTCCAAGTCGCCCACAGTTGTCCAGCCTTGCTTCTTCTCTACCTCAGGGTCGTTGTGAAGGATTTTGTTTCTTAACCATGATAGGTAATAAACTCTCAATTTATTCTTCTTACCTACAAATATTTAAAGACTTGTTAAGACTAGGATAAAAGAGCAAACTGGGGGAAAACTGCAACTGCGGTACCAGCTTCACAAAAACTGACACAATACATTGATTCAAGATTTCGACAAAAGCAAACTTCCCTTCTCATATTTACGGCAACCTAATCAATTAAAGCTACACTGTAAGAAACAAATATGTGGAATGAAAAACGTATCGTGTTTAGATAGTACACATGGAGTATTTCAATTCCTCCAAAACATGGTTTGAAGAATTGGGAATGACCATTGTGTTCATATCCTCCTTCGTCCCACGTTCATTCAGAGCTGGTTTCAATACTGTAAGGCTGTCTTTAATAAATCATAATTAAATATGTGCTGTAAAAGGCTTTCATGGCTGGAATCACTGGGTTGCTGTGAGTTTTCTGAGCTGCATGGCCATATTTCTGAAGCATTCTCTCCTGGCATTTTGCCCATCTTTCAACTTCTGAGGATGCGTGCCACAGATGTGGGTGAAATGGAAAACTTACAGCAACCCATTATTAAATAACTTGGATAACAGAACTGAGACCACAATTTCCCCTTGCTCTTCCATTCATTCATTCATCCATTCCATTCATGCTCTTCCATTCAGCATCTAATCAGTTTCATGTCCTATATAGTAAGTTAATATTAAACTATAGTTAATTCTCAGTGCAAGGAAGAACTGTGATTTAAATAAATCATGATCAAACTACTGAAACAGAAAGCATGTAGTCCTGACATCTATTTGTGGTTTAGTAAATCACATTTTATTAAACTAGGATTGTTATATTCAAAACTAAATCACAAGGGTAAGTTAATTACTTCCTCATCTAAGCTTTTTAAAGACTGTTTCCAAAAACAATACTGAAATACAAACTGAAATCTTAGTTTTTGGATTTGTGTGTAATGAGAATTGTTGCCTGAAACAAGAGATATTTAATTACTTTCAAATGTATAGGGAAGGTGGATCATGTGAGCAAAAAGCCATGGTCTTAATCCATTAAACCAGACTTTGATTTCTGTACCTGAATCAATGTTTACATTCACATCATAAAAGCAGCCATAAAGACAAGTCTTACTTTATTACTGTAGCTCTATCCTATGCTATGTTTCTTGTAAAAAGTGTACATATATATTGGGACTTCTACTACTATATATTGGGAATACTACATTTTTTTAAAAGCAACAACTAAAAAGTCAGCTTCCCAATATGTGATCCCCTATCATGTGATAGCATATAATACCCAAGGGAAATTTTCTAGCAGCCACAAAAAGATATATTTGTTCTAAAAGGAAATAAATGTCTTCCCTCCACCCAGCTAATAACAGCAAAAATCGTGATGACTTTTATAAGGATGAGCACGTTTTAGTGGGTGTTTTTGCCTTCAAATATACTTTTATTTTTAAAAGTCACAATTTTATCATTTTGTGCAAACTATATGTTAAATGTACTAGAGATCTAAAAAACGTTCGTGTTACCTTCAGCCAACGCACCTAACAAATTCCAGTTTATGCATGCATTTTCAAATAAATGCTAGATTAGGCAAGCAGGGGGTCTGAGAGTTGTTGGATCAATCGGTGATTACAGAAAATAGGCTCTAGCCTGTACAAGAGACATGACACCCACCCCTCCAGAACTTCTTAACAACATCTGGGATGTTTAGTGAAGCATCAGCATTCTTTGGCAGCCCCCATGAGCCCGGACAGTTAAAGTGGATTCATTCTACAGCACAGATGCATCCCAAACTTTTCTTTTCAACCGCTGAAAGCTTTGGTGTTCTAACACTTTTATTTTTAAAGAAGGAATTATAAGCAGGCAGCCACTGTAATGGGCACCTTTGTTGGCCAAATGACATATACTGTATTTTTTTGCCGCCGCACATTTCATTTAGCAGCAAATACTATTTTTAGTTTGGGGTTTTGAAAATTAAGGTGTAGATTACATTTGATGGCACATTAGACTCGAGTAAATGTAAGTAGGATTGTACAAATTTTGGTAATTTGAACATAGGAACGGAACAATGGACGTCGAATTTGGATCACGCTTGGATGATGAGGCGATTGGGGGTGGGTTTTGTGATAACTGTGTATTGATGTTTGTTTATTAGCTAGTAATGGAAATGTGTAATTTAACTGTTATGGTATATTAATTATTGCTGTTTTTATTGTCTTGTTGTTTGCTGTCTGGAAACCGCTGTGAGTCGCCCTCGGGCTTGAGATACAGCGGTATACAAGAATAGTAAATAAATAAATAAATACATATAAATAAGTGTGTTCTAGAAGAAGTAAAAACAATATTTACCCGATATTGTCACCAACACATTTAGACCTTCAAGTACATCCATTTGCTGAAATCTCCTTCTGTTTATTAATGGATATACCTTCCCTTGGCCACTCCTGTCCAGCAGCATCAGGCCACTCTCAGTCCCCACTAACAAGTTAACGCCTAGAATAAATAAAACAAATTCAGCATATATTTTCCTTGGTTGTGAAAGAGTTCCTCATTGGACAATTATGTTATGGTTTTCACATCTCCAGGAAAAGTCTTCAAGCCCAATGGGAAATCAAGAGTATGTGACATGTAAAGAGCATACACACAGGACCTATGCTTATTAATTAACAAGTTGTTTGCTTAAGAGTTAGTTCAGGCAACATAGCATTCAAATGTGAAGCTAGGCTTGAGTTCTCTGGTTCTTTTCTTAAATCAAGAACCAGTTTCCTATGTTCTTATTTCTAAATTCCTGCTCAAGTTTTACTAAGTATACCTTTTACTTGTAGACTTATGCTGTACTTATAACTTCTTTGGCGGTTCCTGAACTGTGTTATCTTGGGATCTGCATGAGACATTTGGATTACTGTTTAATTATCACCTATTGCTAACCTTTTTTGGATTATACATAATTTCTTTATTCCTGATTTTTCATATATTTTATATGTTTTTCAATAAACTGTTTGCTTATACTCTGGACTCCCGTGTGGTACTGTGGTCATAGGTGTTTCCAGGCCTGGGGTGCAACATTCAATACAGCTGGGGATAAAGCCAATTTCCACCACTACCACCCCAGCTCCTCGATTTCCCTCCAAAAACACAGAAAATGGCAATTACCTCATTTACTGCATGTTTACTTCCTGGCCCTTGCCATGTGACTGAGCAAGGCTAGCTTTGGGAGGACGACCCCCCTCTGTTCCTCCTAAGCTTGGTCACAAGACAGGTAGTAAACATGCAATGAATAAAGCAAGTGACTTTTTCTGAGTATGTTTGTGTGTGTGTGTGTGTGTGTGTGTGTGTGTGGAGGGGTGTTATAGAGGGCAGGAAGGACTGCTATCTTGCCTTCCCAGGTTGCCAGCACCTGGGGAGCACATGTTGGCTGTGGGGACACCAAGCACAGAGTCCGCATAGGAATCTGGGATGGATGTCTGCACCACCTCAACACGAGGAAAACTCCAAATCCTGCTGGAGGATTCAGACTTCCCCTGTGTTTTAAATCTGGGGTGCATCCACATTAAGTGGTTTACAATGGGTTAACTTGCATCAGCCTGCAGGCTGATGCAACCCCTACACTGCCTTAAATGGCTGTGTAGAACCACTCTGAGAGATCATGGTTCAAATCCCATTCAGCCAAAGGAAGCCACTGGGTAAGTCATGCTCTCTCAGCCTCAGATGAAGATAATGATATATCTTTTCCAAATAAATATTGTCAGGGAAACATCATGATAGGGTCATCTTAGAATTGCAATTATACCGAAACAATCATTAAATCTTATATCTGGTGAAAATAGTATATAGCCACTGTAGCAAAATGCAAGCAACAACAATTCCCCTATCCTGATTAAGCTTAACTTCATCTTTTTTTGTGTGACAAATTTGGGAAATAAGCTAGCAATAATTAAATAGCTCCTATACCCCATAAGGCAGCACACAGGATTTCAGAATTGAATCTCTTCTTGTATTTGCGGATTTCTGGAGTGTCACTTTGTGGTCTTGTATTTGTAGGGTTCACATTAACAACAGATCCTTTCCGGGTTGGATCCTGTCTGATGGCTTCTGCTCTCATTGCTTCACTAGAAAATCCTACTGCAGGGGAAGAAATGATAGAGAAATAGAGAGAAAATAGTAAGAACAGTGGTCTTTTAATACCACATTACCATATACATACATACATGCATGCATGCATAACCATATGCATATATACACCATACAACAGAGACAGATCAGATCAAAATATGCACCTTTTGTTAAATTACATTTATATAAAATAGAAATGAAAAGTAAAATGAAGCCAAGTGAATATTTTTTAAAGTTTGTTATTATATTTTGTTTTCACTTACCAACAGAAGTCACAGTTGTTCCACTAGATGGAGATATTTGGAGTAATCTAGGGTCTATAAAAGGCGTAAAGGAGGAGGAAGATTTGTGTTTCTGCAGTGTATTACTAGCGGATTGAGTCTGCAATGCAAATTTCACATTTATTAATCACCACAAAATAAAAACAAGTATGATTTTAAAAAATTGTTCTAGCTGCTACTGGACAGCACTGTTTTAGAAGCCTTCTCGGCCCCCTTCCCCAAGTGCTACCTATATAACTGTACCTATATGAGTAACTGGAGCAACATCATGAAAAAAGCACATATTCTACACATTAATATGAGAAATTGAGACTAGTATCCAGCTCGATTATAAAATGTTTTCATGAAATAGTTACCAAAACCAGTACAAAACAACATGACTCCCCTCTTCCTGAAATGTATGCTATATGTTCTATCCTTGTCATATTTTATTTTTCAGACTTTGACTATCATCTTCTTTGCTTTTTTGCAATTATGTGTCTTCTACACTGAGCCAGTGACCAACAAAACAATAAAATTTCAATGTGCAAAAGTGAGAACAACTAAGAATCAAGCACTCAGTACTGAAAATTTTAGCATCTGGTTAGTTTTAGGATTAATTGTCACTTTTTCTCAAGTAATTCTTTAAAAACTGAGCCTCTTGCCAGAAAGCTGCAGCAGGTGCATCCACCATGACTTCTTATAGAAAAAAAAGTTAAGTCTGGATCAAACAAGCCAACTGGGCTGGGGAGGGACAGGGCAGATGAAAACAATGACATGAAGGAGCCAATGTGCCTAGAAGTTAAAAACACTAAACTCAAGAAACACAAACAAAAGGAGAAAAGTTAAATGAAGTCAGAGTGGAATGGCTGGGAGAAAAAAAAATCTTGCCAGACTATGTGAATTATGTGTCACGGGGATAACACTCACATGAAAGCAGAGTGACAGGGGTTAAAAATTAATATGGATGAGGAAAAGTTGCAACAGACAAAAAAGAGAGGATTTTTTATATATTTGTCATACATCTATGGTGTTATTTTATTTACAGCTTCTTAGCAAACATTTTATTTCTGGTCAATCTTTAGCAGAAAGTATATCCTGGTTTTTCATTACAGAATTAGGTATGTCTTTCAAACAATTTTCCTTCTATGACATTCTACTGCTCTTCTTCTTTAATATGAACGTCTATAGGCTTTTTTTAAAATTGTTTAGAACGAACTGACACTCTACTGTTGGACTTTTTTTTGTGTCAGGAGCAACTTGAGAAACTGCAAGTCGCTTCTGGTGTGAGAGAATTGGTTGTCTGAAAGAACGTTGCCCAGGGGATGCCCTGATGCTTTTCCATCCTGAGGGAGGCTTCTCTCATGTCCCCGAATGAGAAACGGGAGCTCACAGACAGGAGCTCACCCTGCTCGCCAGATTCGAACTGCCAACTTTTTGGTTAGCAGTCCAGCCGGTACAAGGATTTAACCCATTGCATCACTGGTGGCTCCTACTGTTGGACTTTGAAAGTGTACCAGGGTCTCCACAGCTGTCGACCTCAAACTCATAAAGGCAGGTGCTACTGTTTTTAAAGAACTCCACTGCCTACAATTCCAAATCTCTTTCATTAGACTTAACATAGTCTCAGGTTTCCTAAAAGAACATCTCCTGCTTTAACATGAGGCTTCTAAACTTTGATCTAAGACTACAATGGAGAAACGATGCAAAAAGCAACTTTAGTTCTTCTCAAAATTATGCTAGATACAATATATTTTATTATTTTCCTTCAAGGTACATCTCTAGACAGCCTGTTGTTTTTAAGAATGTTCTTGCCTTCTATTTCTGGAATTTGAGGATAATGGCAAGTAAGAGGACTTATCATGAAGGTCCACTGTTGCCAAGGAGAAGGACCCATCCATGAACAGGTTAATCCTGTCAACAGCCAGGCTGGGCAGGATATCACATTATTTGAAAAGCAGCCTGTATTGATCCATGTCTTCTCCTGCTTAGGTTCCAAGATAAGGAAAGAATAGAAAAGACTCCCCATGTCCAGTTAAGACTCTAGTTCTTCCATCCACAATGGGGATGGATAGTTCCTTCTCCGTGGTAATCCTTCTCCTTGGTAATAATGCACTTTCAAAGGTTTCTGATGAGTCACGAGGTTTCTGATGAGTTCTTAGCTAGTGGAGAAGGAGTTATTCATGAATGGGACTTAATCAAGCAGACGTGTGCATGGATAGAAGGTAGCAAGAAGTGTTCTAATATGGTAGTTCTTGTTGCATACCCCTTCTATCAAAGGAGGCTCTGGCTGAGGAAAATTAATCTAGCTTACAGAGTTTAGTGCTCATGAATAAATTGTCCATATTTCCTGAGGAGGGCATTACTAAACAAAAATTGCACCAGTCATGTATACTAATCTTGCTGAGTGTGCTGTTAGATTCAGTGATTTTGATGGATCTATTATATCGTAGACAAAAAGGTGATCCACATGATTAGGGCCAAAGATACCTCTGATTCCCAGGGAAGTGGGAAGAAAGAATGCAAAGAAGACTTCTGAATAGGCAGTGAGTGCTGAAATCTTTCTGGCTGAAATGACTGCAATCAGAAAGAGGTCTTGATAGTAAGAATCTTGAGTTTGCGATTTGTGTCTGAGGCAAACAGGTTGAGCTGAAGGTTGTCAATGTGCACTGTCGTGGATGAAAATGTGAAGGTCCAGACTCATTTCCCTGGATCCAGAGTATAGCAGCTAAGGAAGTCTGCCTCCCTATTCAAGGTTTCCTGAATGTGTTGGGCTGAGGTAGAAATAGTGTTTTTTTCTCTCAAGAAAAGGTAAACCTCCCATGTGAAGTAAGTATACATGGAATCCTTAGGATGTAGGATTTGCCTATTTTGCTATCTGTGAGAACTAGGATATTAATAGTTTTTAAGAACATGAGCACATTCCAGTCAGGTGACACAGTGGATTGCTCTGTGGCAGGGACTGGCGAGGTCGGAAGGGAAACAGCCTAACTACGATTGGATCCTGCTAACTCTTCCATAGCCTCCTATTTATCATTATATTATTATTATTATTATTATTATTATTATTATTTACTATATATTATATAATATATTATTTATTACTATTTATCATTAGTTGTCTCCTCAAAAGCAAATCCTCCATGTCTAATTGTTCTTGAACAGATACATACTCCAGTGCCTTAGCTGTTGTATGGTTAGAAGTACAAGGATGATCAACTTCAATACAGACTGATTTAACTACTTTGTTAGCATCGCTAGTGCTGGAGAAGCAGCCATTGCCATGGGATGTTCTTGTTGTGTACATGTCTTTGTGGCTTTCAGCAGAGGCACTTCAGAAGACAGGTATGTTCCAGACTAAGTAGACGTGAGTTTAATTTTCACTATCCTGAGGATGCATTTGAGAAAGAGGTGCAAAGAGGAAAGAGAAGTGATAGAAAGGGGTCAAACTAGTGACAGGGAAAAACTAATGTGGGAAATGAAATAGTAAGGGTGTGTGTGTGTTTTAATGGTACAGGATTGGGAAAGGAAAAAGATGAAAAAAGAGAAACTGAAATAGAAGTAATAAGGTCAGAGAAAGCAGAGGTGATGGGTGTCATTCCTTCCCACCTGCTACTAAGGAGGATGTTCAAGTCCTGAACCGGTGCTTAGCTGCTGTAATGGACTGGATGAGGGCGAACAAATTGAAACTAAATTCAGGCAGATTCATATGATTTAGCTAAGACTGAGTCCTCAAGCTGAAGTTGATTTCTGAGTATGACCTGAAAACTGACGGATTGCTATGCCGAGTAACCAGGACAAATGCTCATCTTTGATTCTTGTCTGCCTTGTTTACTTCAAATGGGCTGACTTGACCACGGTGGTCCATGCCTTGCTTACATTATTGCAATGTACTCTACATGGGACTGCCTTTGAAGACAGCCCGGAAACTGCAATTGGTACGAAGGTTGGCAGCCAGACTTCTAATTGGACCTAATGATAGAGAGCACAAGATGCCCTATTAAAGCAGCTCCACTGGCTGCCAATAAGTTTCCAGTCCCAATTCAAGGTGCAGGTTCTGACTTACAAAACTCTAAATGGTTCAGGCCCTGCCTATCTTCGTGATCGCATCTCCCCCTATGAACCAGCGCAGGCTCTAAGGTAATCTGGGGAGGCCCTCCTCCCTCTTCCACCTCAGTCAAAAGCATGGTCAGTGGGGACAAGGGAGAGGGCCTTCTCGGTGGTAGCCCTCCGACTCTGGAATTTCCTCCCCAGGAAGATTAGGCAAACCCCCACACTATCCTCCTTTCATAGGGAATGAAAACCTGGATGTTCCAGCAACGAAATTGGTTTTATATATTTTTATTTTTAGTATATTTTATCAAGTTTTTGTATTTTATCATGGTTTTTTTGCTATTTTGTTTATTCAGTTATAGTTGTTTGTTCTATATTGTCTAATGTGTCTTGTTGTAAATTGTTTATATGGTTTTCCTTTTGGCATTGAATGTTTGCCATATTTGGGGGAAACCGCTCCGAATCCTTTCAGGGAGATAGAGCAGTCTATAAATAAAGTTTTATTTTATTGTATAGCTGGCTTCTGAATGAAGGTGCAGCTCAAACTGGAAAATAAGAGGTACTTTTGAACCAAATGTAATAGGGACACTCCCAAAACATCTTCCCAGCTCTAACTTTTTTTGAACACATGCTTTGCCTTCCCTCTTCTTTGTCCTCTCCTAGCTGTTTATTAATAAGAGGTTCAGAGGAGCTCAGCATACAACACTTCCTGCCACTTTAAGTATCTTAACAGTCTGCAAAATGAAAGAATAGCAAAAGGTGCAGAATCTGGAAAAGTTTCTCTTTTGATTACAACTCACAGAATCCTGCAGTTTATGTCTAATCCCAGTTGGACTTATCTGGGAACTTCAGTCCCAAATTTTTCCAAGCTTTCAGAGCAGAACCGAAATGCCAAAAAAATAAAAAAATAAAAACACCCCACATTGGTATACAAAGGTTTTACCAATTTGGGGGAGGGGGGCAGTTATTATTACAACAAGGTTGGGATGTTTGCTGTAAAAATGGCTTAGTCCCTTAACCCATCAAGAAAGTTTAAAAAGAAGCCTCTTGTGGCAAGGCTGGAGAAAGCTTCCTTTCTAATACAGTGCACCATTTCCCCAAGCAAGGGCCCTCTACATGCATAGTTACTCATACTATGCTGAACTATGTGGCATTACTACTATTTTTTTTTAAGCCAGATGATTCTAGAATAGTTTCAGAGTACACCTTCTTCCCAAAACAGCATATCAACAAATACCAATAAAAGCAATCAGTTTAGCTTATGCAAAAGCCATGCAATGAACGATACCTTATCAGAAGCAAGAATATTAAACTGGCATATTCAGGGGGTAAGACTGCTCTAGAGTTAGGGGGTTTGCTTTGTAAGAGCTGAAATGTGTTATTTTGGGAGAGTGAGGGGGTAAGTGACAAGAAAAAAGCAGCACAAACTGACACTGGCTGGAGCTCCTCTGCAAACTAGTTATTAGGCAATACATCTCTAACCCTATGAAAGCAGCCAGCTGTGGTGCAAGACATACCTCATTAGTAGTTAGCTTGTCCTGGGGTGTCTGTGGGGACATGGTGGGTGTCGGCTGGCTGGAGGATGGGGAGGAGGAGGTGGAGGAAGTGGAGGAGGAATGGCTTTGCTGTAAGAGATCTGGCAAGAGGTGAATGCGACCGGCAAAGCCATTGCTCTCATGATGGCTGGCACGCTTTGTGTCAACTGTACTCTGTAGAAAAAACAGGCACACTTGTCTTGCTCAAGTGCTGCGTAAAAGTCTATGTCCCTAAGCAAACTGGTCTATTTTTAAGGTTCCACTGAATCAACCAAGCCTCAACACCTGAGTTAGAAAGATATGAAGTGGTGAAAAGAAAGTCTACCATACACTACAAGAGTTGGACTGGCAATATTTGAGTTCTCTGACAAGACCAGATTTCAGAACCAGTGAAACTAATTTCTCATGGGCCAAATCTGTTTTGACTTGCATACTCCTTGGGTTCCTCGCTATATCATGTTTATTTTTAGTTCTAGCTTTCAGAATATTCAGATCAAGCACTTGGAATGTCTTTTGATGTCCTAATTCAACTATCTGAACAAAAACTATACCATCTTAATTAAACCTGCAGGGCTAAATTATGATACTGATATTTTGTTGCGAAAATTAAGAAACTGTAATTAGTTAAGTTCCTTCTTCAATGAGCCACAACACTAAAAAAAAATAGCAAATTCACAACAGGAAAGCATAATCTCAACAGTTCTGCATGTAACATTTCACAGCAGAAAAACTGCACCTCTGCTCATAATCTTTCCTGGATAGAAGACCTAACATGGCATCAGATTTAAAACCAACTACATGGCTCACTTCTTGCACAGTTTCAATCTATCCCACAAAAAGGATACCAATAGACAATTCAAACTAACATCACCATAGCAGACATTTTATTCTCAATGCCTGCTGCAAAAGGTACACCTTTTTGACCTCCACTTTAGGTATGAATTAAAATTAACTCTGAAGTTGATGTAATGTGTCACTCTATGCATGCAACACACAAAGAAAATGACATGTGGAAACTATTGCTTCAAATGTCACAGCTCATTCACAGGAGGCAACTATATGTCTGCAACTTCTACAACTAACATTACGTAGCAAAACTGCATGGAAGAATGAGTTAATTGAGAAGCAAACCACACACCAAAAAATACATTACCTGTCGGACTATTAAAGTGCCCTCCTTGGAAGGAGTCATGGCAGGTTCACTCTCCACATCATCATGCACAATCATGGTTTTCACAGACTCTGTTTCCCCATTGCTGAGGTTTAGAGTGGATCTGTTTGGTGAAAAGGACATTTTGTTTATCTGATCACATATTTCTGTTTTTATTTTGATTCTACCTTAACCTAAGCAATATTTAGCAGGAATACTAGGATAAGATCATCACAGAAGAAAATAAACCACAAACCGATTAGGTCCTTGATCTGTAAAGAAAAAATAAACATTCATCTTCTCAGAAGACTTTCTTTACTAAACAATAAATCTTATCTGAAATTAAAGCAAAATTAATCTAGTCATGTTTTCTGAGTGTGCACTTTCCAATCATTTATTCACCATACTTTGCATCAAAGGAGAATAATTTCCTCCCCCCGCCCCACTTCCCCTGACCATTTGTGAAGGTTCCATATCCAATCAGTTTTTGCAGCCCCATGCAGCTTGTTTTTCCTCATCACTTCCCCTTTCTCCATAGCAACACATTTCTGGTGATGTATGAGGCTGCCTTCAGCAAGATCTATGGAGTCAATATACTGTACTGAACTTCTTCTTCTTACATCTTCCAGTCCTATCAATTACAGAATAATTTAGCTCTCTCTACTGGAGAGAAGTATATTGTATATACATGGGCACGTGTGCATGTGTGTATGTAATTATCTATTTAGGTTTCAGTTTGCCAGGAGATTACAGAATCTGTGAAGAATCTAGAAGTACAAGATATAGTTTAAAAACGGCAGAAGTTTAAAGAAGTAACTGTATTTCTTCAATTCTAAGATGCACTTTTCCCCAATATAAACATCTCTAAAAATATCTCTTAGAATACAGGTGCATGTGTGTCTATCTGTCTGTTTGTCTATCTGCCTATCTATCTGTCTACAGGCAATCCCCAAGTTACAAACATCCAACTTATAAACAACTCACAGAGAACAGGAAGTGAGAGAAATCTAGCCCTAGGAAGGGAAATTCACTCCTGGAAGAATTGTCATGGAAAAAAGATGTCTCCACTGAAGCTTTCCCACCAATCCTTGTTTCCACAACAAGCTATTTTTTTCAAAATCCAATTACAACAGGGACAAAAAGTAGGGTGAAATCTTCTGAACAGGGCCAGACAGCAAAACAAACATCACAGAAGTGTTAGCCCTTCCCTATGCTACCCAAAGCTTGTGTGTGTGTGTGTGTGTGTGAATGGAGGTACAATTGAAAAATGCACCTGTTCCAATTTACGAACAAATTCAACTTAAGAACCTGCAGAACCTATCTTGTTCATAACTTGGGGACTGCCTGTATGTGTGTGTGTGTGTGTGTGTGTGTGTATCCTGCTGGTGGTACTGAAATTAGTACAATCAATGAAGCCATAGAATTGAAGAAATATGGTATATATTCAAGCACCTACTGAAGAAAAAACAATACTTGCATGAACTAGTACTACATACATTCATATTTAATCTACATTACAGTTGATGTTCCAGATTTGTGGTTTAAACTTTTGCAAATTTAATTATTCAGGAATTATTTGCCACTGCCTCTACTGCTGCCCTGTGCCATTTTAATAGGGATTTATAAGCCTTGCCTACAGTCTTTTTGCAGGCCTTCTGAACCCTTTCCGGTGAAGCAAAGGCAGAGGCGAATCTAAGCATTTATGGCCAGTACATACAGCATAACCAAGTGGCACCACTGACATATGCTTGCCCACATTATCAACAGGGCAACGCTGAGCGTGTCTTCATGCCAATTCCTACTGAAAATAGTGTAGGGCAGCAATGGAGACAGTGTTCAATATGGTGTGGCGAGGTTAGATATATTCACTCTTTTCGAAAATTAACTCCACAAACATAGAGGGCCAACTATACTTTCTTGTGGTTTGAATCCATTGTTTGCTCTATGCCAGGAGTGAGCAACTATCAGAAGTTAGGAGACCACACTGGCTCTCAAGAAAACCTTAAAGAGAGAGACTCTCATGAACTAGAAGTCAGCTTCCGGTTCGCCAATTAGGCAGTATGCCCACCATGTCTTCTTTAGCCATGTTAATTATTCTGTGACCCTTTGCTATCACCCTCATGCATATCACTGAAATTTACCCAATTTTTAAAATATCTTTCACAAATAGTGGTTTCCAGAATCGTAACACTAATGGAAGTCTTGCTAAAAAATGAAACTAACTTGGATTTCTTTTAAAAGAATATTCCAAATGGATGCCCTCTAAATGTGTTGGAACTAAGTTCCTTCCACTGGTCATGCTGGCTGGGAATGATGGGACGTGAACTCCAACAGATCTAGAAGGTACTATGTCAGGTGTACTAATATGTAGTGTTAGGAACAGAGGATAAAAAATAACTAACACTGCTCTAGCATCTTCTGGGCCAGAAGTAGATTCATCGACTCCTTCTTGCTCTATGTCATCATCATCTTCATCAGTTGTCCCTGATTCTTCACTGGAAGAAGAGTAATCTGTCACTTTATGGGGAGGTCGCACATCTTCTACTGCCCTCAGTTCCTTTGCCAAAGCAGTTAAATCCTAGCAAAAGGAACATAGGGAAGATTAGAACGAAGTAACAACAATTGGATAAAGAAATTGCAATGATTACTATTACTATTATTATTTATTGCAACTACTAAATAAATAATAATAATAATAAACTTTATTTCTACCCCGCCAACATCTCCCCGATGGGGACTTGGAGCGGCTTACATGGGGCCAAGCCCGGACAACATAATACAGCAATAAAATCAAAGCATATACAACAGACAACAACAACATTATCAAAATGACATTAAAATAAAATAAAATAAAACTAATAATAATAATAATAATAATAATAATAATAAAATAAAAATTCCAATAGACACAATCACGATAAAGATGACAATGGGCGGGCCACATATTCCAAATAAAAACAATTAACAGACTATGACGAGATAAAATAGGAGCAGGACGTTTAAATGGAACTCATAAAACACACAGATAAATACATAACATGAACTGAATAGAAAACATACTCTCAACACTGCAGAATTTTGATCTTGATCTATATTTTTATTTTAGAAAATAAGACTATTTGCTTTCACAGACATGGAATAGTGTCAGTTGACATGTTAACAAATTCGATCTGAAAGTTTCAATTCAACTCAGACAAAAACATCACACTTTACTGGCTGCGACAAGAATACAGTTAGTTACGCCCATATCCTGGACCCTAAAATAGATTAACCTAATGCAGCTTAAAAAAAGAAAGCTTCCCCTTTCAAAAAACTCTTTAAAGGTGATGGGGAATTCCTGAACAACATAGCATGTGGGGACATCTTAGAAGAGTGACATAAATCAATTTCCTTAATTTCTCAGTATCTGAACTTGATTTTACAAGATTTCTCTTTGTCCCAACAGCCCATGGTGGCTCCGACCCTGTACTGTTCCAGGTACCTCCCTGATTCTCAATATATTATTTTCATCACAAGCATTTGCAGGGATGAAGAGGGATTGGGCAATTTCTGTATCCTAGGATCCAAGCCTATTACACTAAAACTTAATACTGGCTGCTTACCACCTCTCCCTGAAGAACAGTCAGATGAAACAGGTTCCAGAGAATAGCATCAGTCCAAGAAAAGGGTGAAACATTGTTTGGAAAAGAAGAAAAATAACAAAAAAAATTAGTGCAGGAAGAATATTAGTACTGCTACTTTGGTGTTTTCAAGATGCTAAAAAAACCCAGGACTATCATGTTTAAAAACTTGCCATTAAAGAATGAAGGTGCCACTCATGAAAGAAAAGGGTTCCATACTATAGTTACAGGAGTTATTCGTACTCTTGTTTCAGAAATAATAGTAACTAAACCCCATTTAACATGAAGATGTGCTGCTTTGTAAAAGGCACAACTTTAGGCACAGTTATAGGTCTGCTTGCCATGTTGCCTAGAAAAATACGATGGGGTTGTAATCCAAAAATGTAAACATTTCCAAGCTACAAGTAGTAACGTGTACATTCACCAGAATCTGATATGGTAGGTCAGTATGATGAGAATGGAAGACTAACACAGGGAATCATTATTGGCTGGAAGTGAGATAAAATTGAAGACAGAGGCTTTTAAATTCTTACATTTAGCCACTCCAACCGCAATTGAGGACTCTCATATTTTGCTACCTTATTTCTATTGAGTTCTCTACTTAACATGTTATAGATGTCCATACTATTTGGAAACCACATTGCACAATTTCATTTTGTTTCCAAATTCTCCAATCCGTTTCTCAACTTTTAAAAGGGTAAGCCTTGTATTATTTTGAAAAATGTGTATTTTTTACACAAGGTTTCTGGCCATAAATTCAATGGTAATTCATGACTCACCACAGGTTTACTGGGTCTGAAGGCTTCCTTCTTGTCTTCTGTTTTTTTGGTTGCATTTTCATTACGCTGAGATGGTGAACCTTCAGATTTTGATGATGCTACACAAGTTGGGGTCACAAATGCAAACAAACAAACAAAAACAAAAACAAAAGAATTAAGTACTTTTGGTGAAGTGGGAAGATTTCAAATGGGTGGTAAGTTTAAAATTCCAGTATTTTCAGATTTTCAGGCTGTACACTTCAACTCTCTCATGAACACACTCAAACATACATAAACACATTAAGAGCCAGTCTCTCTTCTAACCCTACTGCTTTTCAGAGTTTAAATGGAATGTATTCTGATTTGCTGAAGAATACATTCCACTCAACAAAAGTCCCACCAGTCATGTTATATATATGTAGTCTCCTTAGCTCTGGTTAGTACTTGGATGGGAAACCAAAGAATGTCAGATGCTATAGGCTGCAATTCAGAGGAATGTACTGGCAAAATTGTCAGAAATATTAAAAATTAACTAGGTATGTTTGGTTACAAAATTGTGAGTAAAGCACCGAAAGGGTTAAATGGATACAGTGATTCAGAAAAGCTGTGGTTCAATATAAGCAGGTGTGCCTGTTGCTTAGCAACGCCATCAGTCCAAGAGAGCTCTCAGTGTGAGAGAAGCCTCTCTGTGTGAAAGATCACCTCAGTGGGAGAATAGACCTTGTTGTTAGTAGGTCTGATTTGGAGGTAGGCCTTGTTATGAGAAGGCCTCGTGTGTGAAGCTCCAGTGTGAAGGTTGAACTTTATTTGCAATACAGAAACCTTGTTCTTGTAAATAGTGTAACCATATTATTTTACCACAAAGAAAAGCACTCTATAGAAGAGATAATATTGGTCTGTGTTTTAGTTCTTTTTATCATTTTGGATTACTGGTGCTGGGTCACGCTGCTGCTAATAAGTTACTCTTCTGTACATTTATGAGAAGGATCTTTTGTTAATAAGCCTACTCGACCAGCAAAAAAAAAAAAAACCCTTACTGGAGAAAATTTTACGGAATTCACAGGGTCACAATAAGTCAATGGATTACTTGAATGCACAAAGACAAATTAAACTGACTGCATTTTCTTCATCTATAGATTTATGACTACAACTTTACTGCCTTTGTGAGGATGTTCCCTCTAGCCCACAAGATGGGATTCAAATGTATCATATTTTATTTTAACCCATTTGGGACCCAAAGTGACAACAATAACACTAAAACAATCTGAAATACTTTTTTTTTAAAAAAAAAAGCATTAAATACATCCCATTTAAAAGAATATATATTTAAACCTCTACACATTACGTATTAGCACACCTGTTGCACCCAATCAGTTAAGAGTTGAAAGTGTATTTAAATAAAGGAAGGCGCTTGCCTGTCCCTGAAAAGAGAACAGAGAGGGGGCCAAATCGAGCTTGAATAGCTGACAATAGCAATTAGTACATTTTAAAGTTGTTGCATCCCCCTTTTAGAGCACAGGACAAGTATGTTAAATTAGAGTTGCCCAGATTTTTTGACAGTTTTTGCATGTACAGGCTGAATATCTCTTATCAAAAATACTTATGACCAGAAGTGTTTTGGCTTTCAGGTTCTTTTAAAATTTTGGAATACCTCATTGTTGCAGACACATACATATGCATGGGCTGAATGTAACTTTATATAATATTTTAAATAATTTTGTGCATGTAACTAAGTTTTTCAAACTGAACTATGAGAAAGCAATCAGCCACCCATGTGGACAATTTGGATTTGAAATATTGTGGATATCAGAATTCCAGATATGGAATGCTCAACTTGCAACTGACATGCGCTCTCCTCTTCTTGCCAACTTGATATAGTGAGCCACAATTATATTCAATTAATGATGAGTGAGATCCCCTTTTCAGGCACTTACATCTCATTCGAAATCTCTCCCCAGACCCACTCTGAGACCCAGGGTGAGATCCAGGCTGTGAGCTAGAATTGCTGGATCCAGAGGAGCTTCCACTTCCAGGCCTTGGCACCAGCTTTTCCACTCTTTCCCAAAGCAAACGAGGCTCTATATTGCTATGAGGAGAAATTACCAAAAGAAAAAAAAATAGATTCATTTCATCCTCAATGTCAAAAATTTTAACTTTATCAACAATTACACAACAGCTGTATTCCTTTGGTGATTCATAGTTACAGAACAATCAAACTGAACACATGAACCTAAGGTGAAGAAGAATTTGAAAGTTCATGCACAACTGGATTGAGGCTATTTTTAATTGAATATACAATTGAACAAGTCTTAAAAACAGTAATAGGAGCATTTCCTTATATCAAAATGTTTAAATACTTTTACTAATGCTTTATTTATTTTTTCAAAAAAAAAAAGCACAAGGAAACATTCACTTTCAGTATTAAACTCTTTAGGATCTTTAGGTCCCCTGGTCTGACTCTATGGTAAACTTTCTAAAGTCATGCTGGAGGACCTGTAATTTTCTAGAGAACAATAATTGTAAAAAAAAAAAACAAAATGGCTGTCATCACTATGGCCTTTATATGAATATTGAACACATCCCAAGTTTCCTTCATTGTCTGTCTTGTAATCAAAGAATTATTTAAGTCACATGTGTCAAACTCAAGGCCCAGTCGAATTCAGCTAGCCGTGTCATTTTATGTGGCCCTTCTTTATCCCTCATTGTTAGACATCATAACTAGAGCTTATGAATGTTGTGCTTGTGGATATGCTATATGACTTTAAAATGTCTCTAATCTTTCCCGAACCTCAGAGTCACAGTTGTTGGATTGCAATTCCTCCCATTATCCCCAGTTCGCATGGCAAATAACCAAAAGTGATGGAAGCTGTTGTTCAATAGCATCTGGGAACCCAAACTGGGTAAAAAAAGCACCAACTACTATGTAAAAAATTATAATTGGCCCTCTGTAGCCAAAGATTCTCCATCCATTGATTCAACCGCCCTTTGAAGCCAATTATAAAGGCTAATGTTGCCCTTGATTAAAATGAGTTTGACACCCCTAAGCTAAGTATTCTTTCTTGCCATTGTTCTCTAGAGGAGGGGTCCCCATTTTTTTTCCAACTGAGTGTTCTCTCAGACTGTTGGGAGGCTGAACTATAGTTTGAAAAAAAATGAATGAATCCCTATGAATACTGCACATATCTTATTTGTAGTGCTAAAAACCATGAAAGAACAACACAATATTTAAAATGAAGAACCATTTGAAACAACAAAAACTTACCAGTTTTTCAGTGTGGGCCTACTTCTGATAAGATGGTCAAACTAATTAGGATTGTTGTTGTGTTCCTATATGGTGTTTCAGAATTAGGGCAACCCTAAATCTAAAGTGTAGAGCGGGGGCAGGTAAATGACCTTGATGGGCTGCATCGAGTCCAAGGGTCTTAGTTTGGGCTAAACCTCATATTACATTTCCAAAATAAGTTCCACTACTCATGAATGACACAGGAGAGTAATATTTTCTTTTTCACCATGCATGAAGTCACTCTCAGAAGGTGCTTAAATAAAGCAGACACTAGTTTAAAGCAGGTATACCTGAAATCCCGTGTTCTTCAGGAATAAGAGATTCTAATTTCTTTTCCTAATAAACTGAAGTTAAAAAAAAAGACTACATGAACATTACAAACCTTGTGGAGTTTCTTTGCCCTGCTTGGTTATTCTGTTGCCCAGTGCTCTGTAGGGGAGAATCTCGACGAGACAATACAGGTGATCTGGATGTTGTTCTCACAGGTACCTTACACAGAAAAAGCAAAGAATTCAGATAACACAGAAACACTAAGGCTTTGTTGCCATATTGATGTATTGAGGTTACTAAAATATTGGCATTTTTAGCCAAAATAGCTCTACTGACACCAACTACAGAGCCTTTAGAGGCATGGGCAAACTTTGACCCTCCACTTATTTTGGACTTAAGCTCCCACAATTCCTAACATCCTGGCTGTTAGGAATTGAGAAAGCTGAATTCCAAAACACCTAGAGGACCGAAGTTTGCCCATGCCTGCTTCAGACACAGTTGGACTGCATTTAAGATGCTGAAAAGATTGAAAAGTTTAGTAGATAGCTAGCATATCAGCACATATATGCCCACTCACAGACTACCATGACAGTTTAGAACACAGGACTTTGAAGCAAGGAGTGCACAAAGCAATTTGCTGTCATGGCATGGGGATTTAGAAAATTAAGCTCTAAGAGGCCAGCAAATGCCTAGTCATGGATCAGTAGAAGGCAGAGACTGGAGGAAAGCATGTTACATTTGACAGAGGTAAATAAAGCAATGAAATACATTTGGGGGAGGGGCATGTTGTGGTCAATTAATAACTGATTTGAAGGGCTGATCTGCCAAATGGGAGTCATCAGTTTTGGTTAAAACTTTCTTTGCATAACAAACATTCAATTTCTATAAAAGAGCCACAACTCATAAATACTTTTGCGCTAATCTTAAGTGCAGGAAAAATTCCTGCAACAAGTTGGTTTTCAAAAAAAGTAGAAGAGGGGTCAAATTCCTTGCCTAAAATACTGTTTCGGGCACTGGTGTCATTGTATGGATGTGCATTCACTAGTTCAAAATCTAGCACATGCCTTTCGTTTTACTTTTTTTGTTTTGTTTTGTTTTCAAAAGTCAAACTTCTGTCTTTCTACTTCTTACCCTTGGAGGCACCTCGTCACTGTCTGATCTAGCCCAAGCCTTTTGGGTGGGGTCAGGTACCTCAGACTTAGAGTCAGAACTCTGACTTATCACTTCACTGCGTGAAGCTGGATATGGGTCCTGAGAGCGCAGGTGGTGATGTGCAAATTTGGGAGAAGGGTCACTGAAGGAATGGGACCGCGAGACAGGGGAAACATTGTTCTTGAGAGATGCCAGATGGGACCACTGTACCTTACGAAAAAACAAAACATAGAACATTCAATGCGTTCTGTACAACTGGCTTTTTTCCCAATTAAACACAGAATACAAAGCAAGAGGGTTTGGGTGGCAGAAGAAGCACAACTTGGGTGAGATGCCTGGCAAGCATGTGGTGCAGTCAATGGGCTCAAACTAAGGATGCTGCCCAGAGAACACAACAAGCTAGGAATGCAGCACATGGGCATTTTGTGAGGCATACTCTGGACACGCATATTAATGGGAAGTAATGAAACTAACTCCCATCTTTTGGACTTATTTTAATATCAAGTCCAAATGGGTCCCACACCAGATGAGGCGTTTCAATCAAAAATACCAAATTGGAAAAAAAGAAAGCACAGAATTATATTGGCAGATATATTAGTTTCAAAAACAATTTACTAGCATCTTGAGATCATGCAGTAAGTTGCTTTTAAGGCATTATGAAAGAATTACATGGAATGAAAAATAAAGACATCCTTTACTTTTCTTTAGTCAATGTATTTATATATGTGCACACTGGCATATATATATATATGTATGTGTGTGTATGTCTGTGAGAGAAAGAAAATATAACAAAACATACACGACACTCTATAAAATACAATATATAGATATTGTATATAGCACAGGCAATGTCTAGACACTATACAAACATAGCAACGTACAATATGGAAGCAGAGCAATATATACATAGTTAAGATTTAACTCCCCCAAGTCAGCTTTACAATCACCATCCTGTTATGACTGCCATCCCTTTTGGGTTAAGGGGTGTTAAGTCTGAAATACCAGCCTGAATATTTCAATGAAGAGAGAATTCAGAAAAAGAAATGCAAGTACAAGTGTTATTTTCTTCAACCTTTTGGAACTGTACAGAACATTTTATCCTTCAACTCCATCTCTTTTTAAGCCTTGAAGTAGCACAGAGCTCAAACATAATCTACAAAAAACAATCACAGACCTCTAAATATGGTTAATATATACCCTGACAATTTATCTGGATTTGCAATAATGAAGTATAAACATGAATGTGTATGTGTGCATATGCACATATCACATCATAAGTATACTATACAGCATAATATTGCATTGAAATGCTCATTAATATGACTTAGCTAGTGCTCAGGAAAGTCTAGTGTAACAGAAGAGCCAGGCCCTTTCCAGACAGGCCCTATATTCCAGGATCTGATCCCAGGTTTTCTGCTTTAAACTGGATTATACGAGTCCCCGCTGACAGGTAATCTGGGAGAAGCAGAAAAACTGCGATCAGATCCTGGGATAAAGAGTGTCTGGAAGGGCCCCCAGTGAGTTGGTGCACAACAGGCTAACCTGAACGTGGACAAAACTCAATAACATTGAAGGTAAAGGATGGCTATATGAAAGGGAGACAGAAGGAGGGAGACATGACTGACAGAGTGGTGGATCAAGAGATAAGGTGGCTAAACAGATTGGTTGCAAATCTTGCAGATGTTTCTGCCAGTTGATGCTTCCCTTATCACTGTAGTATTACAATCTATCAATCCCTATGGGAAACAGAAAAAAGCAAATTATATCCAACCCTTCCCTGAACCTTATTTAATGTCTTAATTTTATGACAGCTAATTTTGGGGCTGCAGGCTTTAAGCTTAAATGTGTTTCATGTAAAACTGAATTTTTAGGTGATTTTGAAAAATGTTTCAATGACTACTGTATATATTCTGAAAAACTTATAAACAATAAGACAATCATTGTAGATACACAAGAAATGTTTATATTTTCTTAACAGGGCTGATTCGTTTTTACAAAGCACCGTAAAAGAAAATGGGCACTGAGGTCCTGTGGTTACATAAGTGAACTGCAGTAGTACAAAGATTGAAATTGAACAAACTATCCTAAAAACTCAATGCAGAAGAAACAGCAAATTCTGGAAATGAATTATAACCATTATGATGGGGTGTGTCTTTTTTTTTTAAAGAAACTTAATGTATACCCATGTGTAAAGGATTTTAGTGGCACATGGAGCCGAAATAGCAATGTTAAAGGAAAGCAGTGAATGGAATCTATCCAGAAGCCTTGTCACTATGATTTAAAGCCATCGATTAACTCCAAGTTGAGCAGACTAATTGAATCAGTGGCAAATAAGTTAATCAACACTTATAAAAACTGGAGCGACCTAGTTGATCTATCATAACTGGAACTAATAATTGGATTCAGCCCTATGTCATATCAACCAAAGTGAATAGAGATAGGTCATCTATTAAGGGTTAAACCAGGCATGGACAAACTTTGGCCCTATGGGTGTTTTAGGCTTCAACTCCCATAATTCCCCCTCAGCCACTTAAGGAGAGGGCCTGAGGTCAGGAATTGTGGGAGTTGAAGTCCAAAACACCTGAAGGGCCAAAGTTTGTCCATGCCTGGGTTAAACCCTTGTGCTGGATGAACTGCTGACCTGAAGGTTGACAGTTCAAATCCGCAAGACGGAGTGAGCTCCTGTCTGTCAGCTCCAGCTTCTCATGCAGGGACATAAATGAAGCCTCCCACAGTATGGTAACACATCCGGATCCCCCTGGGAAATGTCTCTGCAAACGGCCAATTCTCTCACACAAGAAGTGATTTGCAGTTTCTCAAGTCACTTCTGACACAATAAAAAAATCTTATTGCTGCAATCCAGATTATTCATAACCCAAATGTCACCATTAGAATGGAAACTATTACAAAAGAGTAGGTATTTAAGACTATTTCTAGACGTTGTTTCCAAAAAGTACCAAAACACTGAAAAAATGATTTATAGATGGCAGAACACTGCTGGTTAGGAGTAGAATACTACGGATCAAAAATATGAAAATGTACTAGATCACTTCCGTACAGGGCTTGGAAAACTGTATTTTATGGGAAAAGAATGTGCATTGTCAGCACATTTCTTTCGATTTCTGTAAAATTTGTTCAGATGGATTTGGTACCTTTTCAAAACAAGCTGCATATTTAGAGAAACAGACTTCTGTTCTAAATGTAACCAAACGAAACGAGCATGAGAGGGAACTACACTAGTTAACTGTCCTCCAGTGGAGGGTGAATCTCCGCGGGATCCATAGATGCCCTCCGCAAGATCTAAAACCCTGACTTCTCATGCCTGCAGATCACATAAATATCCTCTGGCTTCAAAAAAATTGCTTATCAAATAAGGAGTGTGCTGATGGAAGGAGGGAGGGCTGGGTTACTCCCTCATTCACAACTGCCATATGCTATTTATTTTTGCAACATTTGAAATGCCTAAATAGAGCTAATATTCTGTTTGAAACTGTATACTTTTAGCAGCCTATATTCTGTGTTTTTCACACTAAAGATTGAATTCTATCATTTTAAGGATTTCGGAGGAAACGCCATTTTAAAAACACACTTCTAAAAATCATAGCTGTTGCTCAAGACCAGCAAATCAAAGGTGATGAGAAATGTAGGAGTCTTCTGATTAAGGTCGGTTGCAGCTCCTATCATCCCTCACAAGTAGGTATATTACTTGATGTTCCAAGAATATTTGGAGGAACCCATATTCTCCTTCCCAAGATAGATAATCCTTCTCGAACGCCAGAAAAGTCTTTTAATTCCTTGGCACACTGGCAAAGAAATGTAACGCTCCGTATTTTTCTTAATGTCTCCTAAATTTTTAAAACTAAAGGACCACATTAAGGTGTATCTGGGTTAAACAAACAGGAATGTGTAAGTAATGTTAACGAACTTCACTTAGCAAAGGAGTAAAGTGTTATTCACACAACTGAATTGATTTGTGTTTTCCACTATAAGAATTACATTTGTCGGCTGGCTGGTTTTGCCTGTTGGCTTCCACAGTCATAACCCAATCCCACCACAGACATACCTTTCACAAGGATCTTTTTTCTGCTTTTACCTGTGGTTCCATCGGCTTTTGCAGGGAAGGCTGAATAGGCTCGGCATTTCCATTCGAAAAGGACTCTGATCTCGAAGGCACTGGAGGCTCCAACACTTTGCTCGTCTGTTTAGACTGCGCTTCAGGGGATCCCTGATTATTCTTCCTATATCTATCATCAACCTGAAAGAAAACCAAAAGTATGTCAGCTGATCTCGCATAATCATCACTACATCTGACAGGACGGTCTTCTACAGTTTTCACTAAACCAAGATTTAATACATTATTAGTATTGTTGCTAGGAAAATCACACCAGTCTGTCTTGAATGTGTTGGACTCCTCCAATAGTGGTAGTTTGGAGGTGATCCTTGATCCCATGATCCTCTTAGATGCAGGTAAAATTGTATATAGGGTACCCTTTTCTAGTTTCACCTCTTTTGCCACTTATGCCCCTTTCTGGATAGGATGCAGAAGAATTGTATACAGGGTGCCCTTTTCTTGTTTCATCTAATTTGTCAAGTATGCCCCTTTCTGGACAAGATGGACTTTGCTACAGCCATTCATGCCCTAATCCAACCACCAGATTAGACAATTGTAATATGGCAGTGGTTCCCAACCTGTGGTCCATGGATTACCAGTGGTCCAAAAGAACTGAAATATGGCCTCACTGTTACAACACTGTTGCAATGGGAGCAACTAATCCCATGAAACACTTCAATAGTGCCGAGGCTTATTAAATATGGTTTTCTGTGGGCAAGCAAATGGTGACTACTAGATGGCCTATCTTCTGTATCAGAAACTAGAGCTGATGTGGTCTATCCAATGCAATGTTCTGAATCAACACCCCAAATAACCAAACTGAATCTAAAGTTGACCAAAAATTGATTCGTAACCCTTTTGATACTAATGTTGGAGAGTGGTCCCTGGTCAAAAAAGGTTGGGAACCACTGGTTTAAGGGGAAACAAATGGGGCTGTTTATCTTAGAAATGAGGCTAATAACAAGAGACCTGATAGAAGTGTACAAAATTATTCATGATGTGAGCAAAGTACATAAGGAAACACTTTGCTCCCTCACTCATAACATTAGTACCTGTAATCATCCACTAAAGCTAAATCAGGGAGTGAAGTGGGATCTGAGAGACTGCCAGCTTCAATCCTGTTCTGATCATGGATTCACTAAATTTTGAACTTTTTTACGCTTTGAAAAATATTGTGAAATTATGGAAATACAACGGCCACTTTCTATGGGTATACCTCTGAACATGCTTTGTCTCTTGTTGTCTGTTTAGCATAAAGCATTGTGTATCACAGTGATGGGCAACCATGAAGAAAATCCAGATTGTAAAAGCCTTGAGAGAGACATTACCTCTCGTGGCCTTTCAGTAGGTTCATAATGGGGCTTAGGCTCTGGGGTGTGATAACTTTGTTTATTCCTTTCTTGTTGTTGCTGTTGTTGTTGCTGCTGCTGATGCTGCTGATGCCGCCTGTGGTCATGCTGAAGTGACAAAAGATATGCCTGCTCCTGCTGCAACTGTCGCTGGAGTCTCTCTGCCTGCCGATGTTCCTCCATCTCTCGCCATCTGTATTCCTTTGAGAAAACAGGACCACATTCAAGACTCATATTCCAGACTCACTGAAGGCACTTGCCCATCCCTCCATGTGAGTTATGTGTTTATGCTTAAAATGCAAGTGAGAGTGCCAATGATTAAAATTGGACTGAAAAGTGCATAGGGTTTCTTTACACCTTAGTAAAAGTTTGCTGCTAATCTTAGCAAAGTTGGAGACCAACTGGGGTATTTAACAATTAAAAACAAATAAAAGTAGTCCAGTGAACTGCTTTAAAAAGTGTGGTTTTGTCCGGGAGGGAGGGGTGAACAAGGATCAAGGTGGGGGGGGGGGAGGTGGAGGGAGTTAACAACCTGACCTTTATCTGCATTTAGCAAATACATTGTTGTCTGCACTGTTATTATTCTTAGAAGGCTAAAGGGGCTGTTTCAAAACTTGACTACCAAACCCAAACTTTTCCAACTTAAAAAACAAAACAAAACAAGAGAAATCTACTCTTATTGCACTGTGAGATCACCATACAGTATTTTTCACATGTGCCTGCCAGTCCAAGACATGATAGTATATGAATAGCTTTTCTTCCAAGCTCTATTGTACTTAATGTTCAGCTGTGTCCAACTGAGGAAAGCCTGGGACACCAGCCAGAGAAAGGAATCCTATAGCTACTGAACAAAACAGATACGGTGAGTTACCAGTAACATGGCCTGCTCCTGGAGCAGTTGCTGCTGAAGGATTTCCAAGTGCCGCTGCTCCTCTTCTAGCTGTCGCCTGATATACTCCTGTCACATAGAAATTACCCAGCAATAAAATTGTTCACAACAGGAATGCATCGAAACCACCTGAGTAGAACACCAAATTATCAACCAACTACCCCAAGTCACCTGAAGGTGACAATTCACTCATGGACTTTGTGAATCTCTAGTGAACAAGTTTTTTTAAAAAAAAACAAAAACCTATAATCTAAAGTAGCTGCTAAAAATCTTTCCAGTGTGGACTAAAATGGTATTTTGAGGGTGAGAGGGGAGGAAAAGTTCACAGCTTGTCTGATGAATTTTGAAAAATGTTTCTTTTTTAAAAAAATAAATAAGTGAATGTAATTTTAAAACACACTGAGAGTTAAAAACACAGCAAGTCTAATCCACACAGCCAACACAAAATCACATGCAATTTTAATTAAAATAATTAGTTTTAGGCACTGTGTGATGAACCGTTAGCAACAGCTAGAGCAAGGCTTCATTAAGGCATCCCCGTTCATAAGCTTCCCAGAGATTTCTCTGCCAAACACAACTCTAAGCTCAACTTTAATTCCAACTTCCATCATCAAAGCAGACAATGCCAATCTTGCTGAAATATGTGGTGGTTATGACAAAGAACACAAAACAAAGAAACATCCACTAGTGAACAGATAGAACACCAAACGCATTTTCATCTGGAAAGGCAAATTCTAAGCTCCAGAAGTCAAAAATGAATACATTTACTTACTGCTTCAACTGACCCAAAAAGCCAATGGGCAGCACCATATCCAAAGCTAAAAGTACATCCTACCATGCAAATTAATACGTGTAGGTAATATAAACACATGCACTCAAACACAAGAGAGAAAGAGAGAGAGACAGTGTATGCAAAAGGAATTAATGATTCAGTGCAGTGACAAAATGGGAGCTGTTTGAAAATCTTGTGAAGAAAACAAAAAGAGATGTCTACTAGCTTTTGTTATATGTACCCCTGCAAATCCAGCATTTAGGGTGACGTGAAGAGGGATGTACAGTTCCTTAAACCAGCCATAGCAGAGCTTGGAAGAACATCTCTCAGCTAACAATATGATTTTGGGAGGTTTGTGGCTCCAATCCAGCTCAAACTGCTTGCAGCGAGCAGTGTCGGATGGGTTTGTGTTTCACCAATCCATATCAACATCCCCTTCAGTGAGGCTCACAAGAGCATGGCAGCATGGATATATGACTGGATTAGAGGCACAGAGAAACTTTCTTCTGCAGACAGGTATTTTCTCCCTGCAGAAGAAACTTCTTCCAGATATGGTTAATTGCAACAAGACAATTGCATCAAAGCAATAAAAGCTACATTTTCATGGGGTCATTCTGACATGCAGTATCTAGCCCACTAAAAAAAAAGTTTCTGCATTATGTACTTTGATGGGTTTGGTTATTTAATAATAAATAGTCTCATGACTTCAAAAATCTCAAAATTAACTTTGAAGCGGAAAAAAAAAGGATTATACGATAAATGCAATACCATACCTTCAATATAATTACTATTACTACTACTATTACTTTTGCAGATTTTATTTATGCCCTACAACTTTCTTAAAAGAAGTCAGGGGAGCTGATAATGCCCAATAATAAATATATCTCTTGGATTGAAAGTTCAAAGATTTCAGATTACATTATTGTTTTCCTAGTACTGAAAACTACAAATATTCTATATTATATACAACTACACATAAGGTTTGTGCATAAAGTGGATGACTACTGAAACCATTCTGAAAAGGGCCCACATTTAAAGCATACCTATACAATGCATTTTTAAGAATGTATAGCTATAAAACATACATAGTCTGAAAACCATTTGAAAACCTAACTGTTTGGCACTAGTAAAATCATAGCGATGTAAATTCATTTAGGGATGGAGGTGTATGGATCTCCAGATATTGTTGAACTGCAACTTCCATAGCCAAAGTAAGGGATGATGGTAAGTGTAGTCCAGCAACATCTAAATTCCCATCCTGATCTGCTATCAAAATAATTTAAATACTATGGCCTCATATAAGAGGTCCACAGACAATGCCACAGTTAGTGAAAACCAGCCATCCCTCAATATTTTGCTGGAATTAACCAATCTCCCTTGGGTTTATTTTTTAAAGCCATTCTGTGTGACACTTTTAAAAAAATCAATTTTACTTGTTCTTTGAGTGTCACACAACGTCTAACACTGGCATACATTTTATCTTTAAACAAGGGAGCCAGGAAAAACATCATTCAATGTTTTGATCTGTTAGGAATAAGAGAAAGGGATAATAATAATACCCCGATTTGTTCAGTTTTGGACTTACCTGTTCTCTCTCCACTCTCCTTTTTTCTTCCTCTGCTCTCCTTCTCTCCTCTTCTTCCTTTCTTCTCTTCTCCATTTCCTCTAATCTCTTCTTCTCCTCCTGTTCTCTCCTCCTTTGCTCACGCTCTTGCTGTCTCCGCGCTTCTCGTTCTCTTCTTTGTTGCTATGGTGGAAAATAATAATAATAACATGGATATTTATCCATTTTCTTGCCAATCCTTTAAAGGAGGGCTGCACAACCTGTGCCTTTAAAGATTAGGTCTGATTCCCAAGTTCAGTGTGGGCCCTGGCCACTTTGCTACAGATAAGGGATAAGGAGAGTTGTAGTCCAACATAACCCATGCCACCACTTTGTACTGTTTGCATCTGAATCATTAAGGCACAACTACATGTCAACATGAGTAGATTTTATAAGGAGGCTACCACCAGTGCAATCTCTAATGGTTTTAAATGTGTGGGAATATTTGTAATGGACACAAGAGTGCCACTAGAGATTTCCACACACACAAAACTCATCAATTAATGTGGGCAAAGAGTTCACAAAAAAGAAGATTGCCGAAACAGCTTGTGAAGATTCCTTAAATTGGAACTAATCCCAAACCCTATTTATACTGATATTCTAAATCCAAAGGTAAGGTCCATGGATGTAGTCCAATCTTTTTACTGCTTCCTTGAAGCCTTTCATAAAGTGGCTTTCTCAAATGTGTTTATAAATTATGATATGTGTTTATAAATTATGATATTCCTAAGAATCATATTTTCCAGCTTTTATGGGGCATTATTGTTTCTCCATGACTGTTTCTTTACATTCGTTGAGACTTTGAAACAGGGTCTGAAGCAGATGCTAAATATTGTAAATCCTGGGATGCTAGTTTTACAGTGTCTTAACTAGTTCTAACATGTCTTAACTACAAAGAGTCACTGCTGAACTCTGCTTTCTTTAACCAAATAATGTTTTCCTATACAAGCTTCACCTTTCAGTCAGCAATTATTTTGGCAATGACTTACTATGGGAAGAGGATGAGGTAGACGTACTACTTTCTGTCCTTATTCTGAAAACATATCTGCACAATTTCTGATAAAGCCATCAAGGATGTCTGCCAGCATTTAAGTGGGTGGGGAACCAAGTGCTGGCATCATATCCACAGAAATTACTTAATGCATAAAACATTCTTGTAATTTCTGTCGCAAAACATCAATTAGAAAATAGCATATACATGCTTAAACACACTAACCAAAATAGGCAACCCTGAGCTCTGGACCTATTAGAAGTCAGTGATTTCAAACCTTGAGAAACATCTCAGTCAAGTCTCCTTTGCTTTCTATGTCTGTCTTTGCAACACATAAGGTGAGTTAAGGACACAGTCCTCAAGTGCCCTGATTTTTTTATTTCCAGTTTTGGATTTGTTTCCTTTTCTTCCCAAGCCTTCAACCAAATTACAGCAAGGAAAGCCATTCTGCCACCCATGTTTGTTTGTTTGTTTGTTTGCCCTATTTATACCCCGCCTTTCTCAACCCCAAAAGGGACTCAAGGAGGCTTACATATTGGCAATTATTCAATGTCTTTGAGCGACAAACAATTCTAATGACATTAAAATTAAAATTAAGATTTTAAATTAAAACTAATACATATTAAACATTTAAAACATTACATTTAATATTAAAATCAAGCCATCCATAATTGTAGTCCAGGGCCATTCCAATAGTCATTGCACATATTTCATATCTATTATTGCACTGCAAATTAATCTCCAAAGGCTTGATCCAAGAGTCAGGTTTTCACTTTCCTTCTGAAGGCCAGGAGGGAGGGGGCTGATCTAATGTCACTGGGGAGAGAGTTCCACAGCTGAGGGGCCACCACTGAGAAGGCCATGTCTCTTGTCCCCACCAGTCGTGCTTGCAAAGAAAGCAGGACCAAGAGAAGGGTCTCCCCAGATGATCTTGATCTCCAAGATGGTTCATAGGGGGAGGCATGTTTGGACAGGCAAGCTGGACCGGAACCATTTAGGGCTTTATAGGTTAAAGCCCTCCAGCAAAGGATCACCGCCTTGTCGGGGCGCTGGAGCTTGAGCACCTCAATGATGTCATGAGCGAAACCGTGAAGGGCCACCCAAGACGGGACGGTTGTGGCAGAGAGGTCAGACCAAGCGTGATCCCTGGGGAAGGCAATGGCAAACCACTCCAGTATCCTTGCCAAGAAAACTAAATGGACCAGTACAACCAGAGATATGTCGGTATGCCATTGGAAGATGGACTCCCAGGTCGGAAGATGGCCAAAATGCTACTGGGGAGGAGCAGAGGATAAGTTCAACTAGCCCCAGATGTGATGACGCAGCTAGCTCAAAGCCGAAAGGAAGGCTAGCGGCCGACGGTACTGGAGGTGAACGACGAATCCGATGCGCTAAAGATCAACACACCATAGGAACCTGGAATGTAAGATCTATGAGCCAGGGCAAACTGGATGTTGTTATTGGTGAGATGTCAAGACTAAAGATAGACATTCTGGGGGTCAGTCAACTGAAATGGACTGGAATGGGCCACTTCACATCAGATGACCACCAGATCTACTACTGCGGACAAGAGGAACATCGAAGAAATGGAGTAGCCTTCATAATTAATAAGAAATTCGCTAAAGCGGTGCTTGGATACAACCCAAAAAATGACAGAATGATCTCAATTCGAGTGCAAGGAAAGCCTTTCAACATTACAGTGATCCAAATATATGCACCAACCACAGCTGCTGAAGAAGCAGAAGTAGATCAGTTCTATGAGGATCTGCAGGACCTACTGGATAATACACCAAAAAGAGACATTATTTTCATTACAGGAGACTGGAATGCCAAGGTGGGAAGTCAAATGACAACTGGGATCACAGGCAAGCATGGTCTGGGAGAACAAAATGAAGCAGGACGCAGGCTGATAGAATTTTGCCAGGAAAACTCGCTGTGTATAACGAATACTCTCTTCCAACAACCTAAAAGACGGCTTTACACATGGACCTCACCAGATGGTCAACACCGAAATCAGATTGACTACATCCTTTGCAGCCAAAGGTGGCGGACATCCATCCAGTCGGTGAAAACAAGACCTGGGGCTGACTGTAGCTCAGATCACAAACTTCTTATTGCCAAATTTAGAATAAAACTAAAGAGATCAGGGAAAATACACAGACCAGTTAGATATGATCTCACTAACATTCCTAGCGAATATACAGTGGAAGTGAAGAACAGATTTGAGGGACTAGATTTAGTAAACAGAGTCCCAGAAGAACTATGGACAGAAGTCCGAGACATTGTTCAGGAGGCGGCAACAAAGTACGTCCCAAAGAAAAAGAAAACCAAGAAGGCAAAATGGTTGTCTGCTGAGACACTGGAAGTAGCCCAAGAAAGGAGGAAAGCAAAAGGAAACAGTGATAAGGGGAGATGTGCCCAGTTAAATGCGCAATTCCAGAGGTTAGCCAGAAGAGATAAGGAACTATTTTTAAATAAGCAATGCATGGAAGTGGAAGAAGACAACAGAATAGGAAGGACAAGAGCCCTCTTCCAGAAAATTAGAAACATTGGAGGTAAATTTCAGGCAAAAATTGGTATGATAAGAAACAAAGATGGCAGGGACCTAACAGAAGCTGAAGAGATCAAGAGAAGGTGGCGAGACTATACAGAAGATCTGTATAGGAAGGATAATAATATTGAGGATAGTTTTGACGGTGTGGTGAATGAATGAGAACCAGACATCCTGAGGAGTGAGGTTGAATGGGCCTTAAGAAGCATTGCTAACAACAAGGCAGCAGGAGATGACGGGATCCCAGCTGAACTGTTTAAAATCTTAAAAGATGATGCTGTCAAGGTGATGCATGCCATTTGCCAGCAAATATGGAAAACACAAGAATGGCCATCAGACTGGAAAAAATCAACTTATATCCCCATACCAAAAAAGGGAAATGCGAAAGACTGCTCAAACTTCCGTACAGTGGCCCTTATTTCTCATGCCAGTAAGGTAATGCTCAAGATCCTGCAAGGAAGACTCCAGCAATACATGGAGCGAGAGTTGCCAGATGTTCAAGCTGGGTTTAGAAAAGGTAGAGGAACGAGAGACCAAATTGCCAATATCCGCTGGATAATGGAGAAAGGCAGGGAGTTTCAGAAAAACATCTACTTCTGCTTCATTGACTATTCTAAAGCCTTTGACTGTGTGGATCATAATAAATTGTGGCAAGTTCTTATTGGGATGGGCATCCCAAGCCACCTTGTCTCTCTCCTGAGGAATCTGTACAAGGACCAAGTAGCAACAGTAAGAACTGACCACGGAACAACAGACTGGTTCAAGATTGGGAAAGGCGTACGTCAAGGCTGCATCCTCTCACCCAACCGTTTTAACTTGTATGCAGAACACATCATGCGATGTGCGGGGCTGGATGAATGCAAAGCTGGGGTGAAAATTGCTGGAAGAAACATTAACAACCTCAGATATGCAGATGACACCACTCTGATGGCCGAAAGCGAGGAGGAGCTGAGGAGCCTACTAATCAAGGTGAAAGAAGAAAGCGCAAAAGCCGGGTTGCAGCTAAACATCAAAAAAACCAAGATTATGGCAACAAGAATGATTGACAACTGGAAAATAGAGGGAGAAAATGTGGAGGCCGTGACAGACTTTGTATTTCTAGGTGCAAAGATTACTGCAGATGCAGACTGTGGCCTAGGAAATCAGAAGACGCTTACTTCTTGGGAGGAGAGCAATGTCCAGTCTCGATAAATAGTAAAGAGTAGAGACATCAGACTGGCAACAAAGATCCGCCTAGTCAAAGCCATGGTATTCCCTGTAGTAACCTACGGATGTGAGAGCTGGGCCTTAGGGAAGGCTGAGCGAAGGAAGATCGATGCTTTTGAACTGTGGTGTTGGAGGAAAGTTCTGAGAGTGCCTTGGACTGCGAGAAGATCCAACCAGTCCATACTCCAGGAAATAAAGCCCGACTGCTCACTGGAGGGAAGGATATTAGAGGCAAAGATGAAGTACTTTGGCCACATAATGAGAAGACAGGTCACCTTGGAGAAGACAATGATGCTGGGGAAAATGGAAGGAAAAAGGAAGAGGGGCCGACCAAGGGCAAGATGGATGGATGGCATCCTTGAAGTGACTGGACTGACCTTGAGGGAGCTGGGGGTGGTAACGGCCGACAGGGAGCTCTGGCGTGGGCTGGTCCATGAGGTCACGAAGAGTCGGAGACGACTGAACGAATGAACAGGTTAAAGCCAGCACTCCTACTTGTGCTTGGTAGCAGACTGACAGCCAGTGGAGCTGACGCAAAAAGATGGATGTCCTCTCTCTGTATGCCGCATAACCACCATGCCAGTATCCCCACATTTTGGGAGTGGGAGAAAAAAGCTTGTTGTCTGGAAAGTATTTAACCAACCTGTGCATGGCCACTCTGATCTGAAGTGCGAGTTCTTACAATGCAGTAAGAACCCGATGCCCAATTTAGTTTCATACTTCATATATAAATATATGTCAAGTACAAATCCTACCAGCCTATTGCTGCATGGGTGTTGACATTACTGGCCAAGTGATTATGTTTACTGCAGTCCAGCAGACTTAAAGAGAAGGGCAATATCATACAGCTTTTATATAAACCCACAGAATAACAACATCTGGAAGACTGTGTACAGTTCTGGTCAGGCTTCAAAGTGAAAGGTTTGCTCAATTTGGTTACAATATACTATGATCTTATCAGATCATAGAACTGATCTGACTTAACCCAGGGCAAGGCTGCCTTAATGCCCAGGATGCGGCCTTTCCAAACATTAGTGCTGTTTAGACAACCGACCTGGTTCCTAACTGCAACTGGCCACAGCTGTCTTGACTGCCATTTTGCAGTCCAGAAATGGCTCAGGAATACAGGATGGTAGCTGCTTGTTGTCCCTGCCCCCATGTCATGTATATACCCAGCTGTGACACCCACCAAGCTTCTCTTGAGCACTCTGACATCAGCAAGAGTGCCCACACACCAACGGAGGAGAGAGGAGAGTTACTCCCCCTCCCACCAGTTCCTTTAGATGCAGCATCAGTCAGAGTGCTGAAGACCAGATAAGTGATGTGTTGTGGTTGGGTACAACCACAGCATGGGGGGCAAGGCTGTCTAGTGGCGCCGAACTATCTTCAGTGTGGCTGAGCAGTTGGGACACTCTTCCACCTCCAAAGTTGTTGAGGTAGTCCCTTTCTAGATGCCATGTGGGTTTGATCTCCGGCATCTCGATTGGGCCCGCATTAGTTATCAGTATAGAATGATCCACTGGCATATGAAATGGGACAAAGGAAAATCAGTTCTATTACAGTAGACTGTAATTCTCTTACACAGTCATGGAGGCTCCTTCTTTAGAAGCTTTTAAACAGAGGCTGGATGGCCACCTGTAAGGGGTTATTTGAATGCAACATTCCTGCTTCTTGGCAGGGGGTTGGACTGGATGGCCCATGAGGTCTCTTCCAACTCTTTGATTCTATGATTCTATGATTCATCATACTATAGTGATTATGTATCATTACAAAGATTTTTAGTGCATGTAAGTAATTCCACTAAAAAAAGAAGCACTAGTTTGCTAGAAAAACACTACATCTCAAAATTGGAAAATGCAAACAATTTAAGGAAGCCACTGGGACAGAAAGCCCCCACATTGTGTGTGGGTGTGTGTATTCTGTGGCTGATGGGCTTGCATCTGTTGCCTTGGTTGCCTTGATAATGGTGCTATTGGTGGAAATACTAGGTTACCTTATCCTGAGAACTACAAAGTGTTAATGCCAAACTGAAACACTTCAGTCTAGCAGGAAATTTTCAGCACAGGCAACTAACACCACTTGCTATCCCTAAGAAGTTTATTGCTCCAATTTTAAGACATCTGGGATCAGAAAATGCAATTTCGGAACATCTTTCGAGGCACCTTATACGTTCAGAAGCTCAAGAGGTTTAAAATCTCAAGAAAGAATTAAGAACTAAAAAAGAACTAAAAAAGAGGAGCTAGTGTGAGAGAGACTTCAATCTTGGCCATTTCTACCTCTTCTAGTCTCCTCCTTTGCTCTTTCTGCTGTTCAATGCGCTTTTGTCTCTCCGCCAGCAGCTGCCGCTTGTACTCTTCTTGCTCTCGTAGCTGTTGTTCCTGTAGCAGCTGTTGTCTCCGAAGAGCCTCAGAACGTTCCTTGTTTTCCTGCTGTAATCTCAGGAAATCACGTCTGAGGGTAGATTCTCCAGGCACATTAACAATAGAACTGTGAAAGAGTAAGAGGGTGGGGATTTATTAAAACCCAAACAAAATCAAGTAGTACATACAATTTTAAGATCATTTCCTTTTTGCATCTTTGTTTCCCAGTGCAATATATAATTATGGAGGTGGGTCAAACCAGCAAGAAAATGTTATTAAATCATTTTTGCCTATGAGTGCCGAAGTAAATTTTGCTTGCAATTATAGGACAAAGTAATTACAGACACAAACACAGTTAGTATTCAATAGGGTGCTTCAAACACAGTGATGCTTTGAGGTGCTTATCACAGTTCACAAAAGGACACAAACAACATTCCCTTATGCTGCAGTACACTAGACTTGCTCTCTCAAAATGTAGATTGTTTTGGAGGGTAGGACAAAACTAACAAGCCTTATAAGTCATTTAGAACTTGAACCTGAGTTTTTTAATTCCCAAACTGCCACAGATCACAACCTGAGCCAACCTGAATATTACATTATTGTGTACTATGGATCTTCAATTTTTGCTTTCTACAAGAATCATGAGGGCAAGTGTTGGTTCCACCACACAAGAAGATGAGATCTAACCCTTCTCTCACCAGTTTCTATAGCCTGATGCTCCCCCCCCCCCCAACACACACACACCTCACCAAGAAGCTGTGACCACAACCAATTTCCCACTATAACCTGTCYGTCTGTAAAAACTAAAAGAAGATCAAGAGGTAAATCATGACAGCATGACTTCTGATTTTATACAGGGTTGGGCAGAATGCAATTTGGTGTGGTACAGATTTCTGGCTCCCAATTTTTAACAAGTGGAGCAACACTAAAATAAGGAAAAAAGGCAGGGGTAGGACAATAAAACTAGGGTTTGAATGGGAACCCCATTAAGAAAATTCTTGAACTTTAAATTTTTTAAGCATGTGGAATTTTCCACCAAGAGGAAGATGGCAAATATATTAAAAAGTAAATCCTGCAAGTCTAATGGATCCTCATTCTCACTTCTATGTATGAACCAATAGTATTCTATGCCTCTCTTTCAAGAGCAAGTACCAATCCAGATTTCTGCAGACTTTAAATTGACTTGTCTATATTTCATATTGATGAATCACCAGGATTACCATACCTTGGCTCTCCTTCTTGTTCAGGCACTTCCTCCTCCTCTTCTTCACTTCCACTATACTCGTATTCTGTTTCATCTGGTGGAAGCAAATGGAGGACAACAGATGTGACAAAAATTTCCCTCTCTTTTTAAAAAAAAAATCCACAATCTTTTCAACAGAACATAGGAATTCTATGTGAAACGTTTTTAATTTGTGGTAAAAATTAAGAATTTCACTAGCAGTGATTTAGAAGCTATCAAAAGGTCACTGAAACTCTTCGCAATAAATTTTAGTTACAATAGATTCAAAAGCTCTCATTGTTTACAATTGAGAGAGTCATCATTAAGTGTGCTTTTCTTTTCCTAAAATAATAATATTATTGCTTTAGAGTATCCAACACTACTTGGTCTAAACAAATTTATCATAACTATAATCCAATAAAAAGTACATGAACAACACTATAATTTCTTCCATCTCGCTCTGCCAAATTCCTCTCTAAATGGTTATTTTAATGTTTGAAAGAGATTAGAGATCAAACTAAGGTCTCAAGTTTTCTTTAGGTACATAGCACAATTTTGTCATGCTATCTGCAGTATCATAAATATCTCCATGCAGTTCATTTCAAGAGTGATTTGCTATGTGGAATGAGGATCAGTGAAGGGTGATAACACTGGAAACACACCCAAAGACTGTTGGGGACACTTACTCTTTAAATCATTGACAAAATTCTTCTAAGTTCTTGAAATTTTATAAATTAGTACTACTAAGTTACAATTCCTCTTTTAAATTAGAGGAATAAATAAATGGGGGAAAGCAAGTATAATCAGGCATTTTTGTTACAATTCCCTTAAAGGACATAATACAAAATAAAATCCTATGCAAGTGACAGTTCTGAATACAAGGTCCTCAGTTTTATCTGCAACCCAAATGAAAGGTCTAGCCTGTCTGCCAGACAATGTATGATAACAGAAATGTTACTTCCTATTGCTATCCTCAAACAAAGGACAAGGCCTACTGGGTTACAGCATCATTTGCATCACAACTTTAATTTGATGCAAAGCCGGTTAACTCTTAACATTTGGTGCCGTCAAACTGAATCTCCATCTTCCCCTCCCATTCCCATGCATCTTGTATTACAAATCCCAGGCTCTCTCTTAATTTATGTACAATCCCGTGTACATAAATAAGAAGTGTGAAACATTTGTAGATGAGATGGATACATTGGCCGCCAGGGGGACCTTGTGAGGGTCACACATATCTGGAGGTGGGATGGCTGTCAACAAACATTTGGGGCAGGGAGGGGGGTTTTGCTACATTTCTGGATCTCTCTGAATTATTTTAGGACTTTTTTCCTAATAAGATGCAAAAGTCAAATTTGGGTTCACATTTTGGTTAGAAAAAGAATTCTCCTATACCTAACATGGCCTGGGGAATGTGTCACAATTGTCCCCCACATTACCTAGAACAGGACCTTTTAAACTTTTTCTACTCATGATGGCTTTCCACCCAAGAATTTTTTATATGACTCCAGGTATATAAAATAGGTATACATTTCAAATATTTACTGAAGATAAATCAGCATTAACAAGGCTTGCTAAACAGGCCGATTTTCCTTTTTATGAAGTACAGCTGAAGCATTTTCTGCATAGTCCACTTTACACACTGTACAATACGTTCATGTAAATGGATGACGTTAGGGAACCTCTTACTATTGCCAATTTTTGTGGCCCCAACACTGAGGGAAGGGGGCCCATTTGAGGTTGGGGCCCACAGTTTAAGAAGCAGTGACCTAGAAGATGATTAGGGGGGATATGCCACAAATATGTTTACAGCATTTAGGACCCTAGGAGAATTGGAAAATGCCCCTAGGAGACACATATTTCCCCTTTCTTAATGCAGGTGCACCAGAAACAACATACTACAGGCATACAAATTTGGTTGTAGCTTCAAAACAATTACATACCCTTCTCTCCTCTCTTCTTCCTAGTTCTGTCTATATGATCTTTAAGCTGGATTCGGACTTGCCTTTCGTTTGGCTGATCACGTATGAATGGATGCTTTAAAAGTTGCTCTGTAGGAGGCCGCTGCATATAGTTCTTCACTAAACAGCCCTCTATAAAACTAAAGAACTTTTTTGACCTAAGCAAAAAATAAATCATACACAATTTAAGTTATTTGGCAATATAAGTCTATTTCTTATGGATCACTTGCAAGTATAAACTCTGAGAAACAAAGCAATTAGTTCATGACTTATAGAAAATTACATTTTTTTATTTATACAGAAAAAAGACAGAAACAGATTAGTCTCCCTCAACAGCTCCACTCAGCATAGATCTATAAATAAAAGTAGAAATCTTATTTTTAAAAGGCAGGCTGGTGAAAGAAAAAAAGGTCATCCTTGAATGCATTTTGGAAGAAGCTTTCAAGTCATCTCTAGGGAGGTTAAAAAAGTGGATTTTTTTACCTTATGCAAGACCTGACCTGGTTGTTTCATTTCACATGTACAGATTTAAAATCAAGAAATTATTATTTGCTTCAGTAATGAAAATTTTCACAAAGTATTCTATGTTTCTGTTCTAAACTCTGTACAGGTTAGTTCAATTTCTTGGTGAAAATTATGAATAAAAGCAACTGTGAATTTTTAAAAAATCATTCTCAGTTGATGTAAAAACAATTTATAGTAATTACAGTGAAGTGTTTCATGAATTTTTGGGAATACTTTCTGCCTGAGGAGCCAGTAACACTTACTGCATTTTCTCATGATATTTCATATTAAAAATTAAGAACTGTATGTGAAGCAAACCTACATTTTCATCTGCAATGGCTGAACATTTTTTCAGCTTAGTAAAAGACTATTCTGTCAAAACACAATGGTTTTTTGTTGTTCAAAGCTTTACCTACAAAAGATGAATTAATAAATTATGTACATGTATGTCTTTTTTTATTGATTCAGAGATACTGAAAATTGGTTTCAGCAAGCTGAAATTCATGTTTTCAGGTCTGTGGAAATGTTCTATGTAAGAGGCAATGTTAGAAGAAAAATATTCGATACTTAGATGGAAAATTAGAAACACAAACATACCATTTCTTAGATTTTAAGCGTGGAGGTGGATTTCTGGGAATAAGAAACAAGGCTCTCATTGGATGCATATCACAGAGGGCTAAAAACAAAAACAAAATATGATGTAGTTGATATTGTGTTTTATCTCTCTCTAAAATGCTTGCAGGTAGTATACAACTCCAAATGGCTGACAGTGGCTATTATTACATGGTGAAAGATGGTAACTGTTCACAATTCAACAATCAATTGTACTTTCTCTATTTCTTATTTTAGTTAGTGTACACAACTGGATTTAGGTAGGAATAACTATAAAGAACACAATAATACAACTAGAATTCCTAGACAGAACTGAATCCATGTTTACATAAATGTGTGCACAGAGGCACACTAAGCTTTGAGCTACTATTTTTGTCATAGAACGCCTCAAGCTTGAGAATGGAAGTTGCCATTTTACATAATTTATAGAAAATGGAGATAAGGGACAAAATTAATTAAGACCCATTTTCTTAGCAAGTTTGTCACTTACAGATTGTAATTTACATTTTACACGAAGAAAGCACTAACAAGGTTACAGCATTATCAGTTCCAAGATTAAATTCCACCCTTGTCAGAAAGTTTATATGGCTTCAAAAGCACTGAAGTATAAGATTACCCTATTTTTTTTATTACTCAAGCACAATCCACCACTTTGGCACAGTTATCTAATAAGAAGCACTACTATGATAGAATTTCCTATTTCTGGTGCTAGAAGGGATAGGGTAGAAATGGAAGAGTAAAGAAATTCATCCATCTGTTTTGAAAATCACAAGTGTAAGTTTACATTACATAGATTAAACCAAAATACAGTTTTTAAGCCAAAATCAGACCAATTGAAAATGAAGACACATTACTTACGGGGAGCACCTTCTGCCATTTCTATGGCTGTAATGCCACACGACCAAAGGTCACTCTAAAAAGAAAGTACATTTGTTAGCAAACATAAGGTAAAGGTAAAGGTTCCCCCTGACATTAAGTCTAGTCATGTCCGACTGTGGGGTTGGTGCTCATCTCCCTTTCTAAGACGAAGAGCCGGTGATGTCCATAGACACCTCCAATGTCATGTGCCCAGAATGACTGCATTGAGCACTGTTTCCTTCCCACCAAGGCGGTACTTACTGATCTACATTTGCATGTTTTCAAACTGCTAGGTTTGTAAAAGCTGGGTCTAACAATGAAAGCTCACTCTAATCCCTGGATTCAAACTGCATCAGCAAGTTCAGCAGCTCAGCGGTTAACCCACTGCGCCACCAGGGGGGCATATCAATTATTTTTCCTCTTAGTGACACTGGTTGGTGTACTACATGTGGAGTCACTATCAATATCAAACATCAACAGTTAGCCTTTTAAAAAGGCTTAATTTCTGTAGAACTTGCCATGCTCATATATTTTTCTTCACACTTTCAAAATAATTTTTTTATCTTTTTTCTAAGATTGTACCATTTCCATGTCCTTATAACAGAATTTTCTTGGCAAGTTTTATTTAGTGGTTCTCTGGCATTGCTCTCCTCTGAGGATGAGAGTATGTGACTTGCAGAAGGTCACCCAGTGGATTTCTATAGTTGAACAGGAATCTGAAACCCGGTCTTCAAGCCTCTTTATCAAATGATCAAACCATTATACTGGCTCTAAATTACATCAATACAGATTGCTCTGATGACAACACATAATGGGAGTGAGACATATAAAGATGCTTGGAGGGCAAGTCCGAAATGGATACTTGAAAGAGGAGTGGCTGAAGAATCAAAAACTCCTTCTATCCCAAATTACGCATAAGAGTGGATTTGGGAATATGGGACAGAAGGATATAGAGTCAATGCTGTTCACCATTAGTCTGGTTGTGTCAAACTGGACTAATTTACCCTCCCCAAATTCCAACAACATTGCTGAATAATGAGATCCATAAAAGGAAGTGGTGTTTTCAGGATGTTTACCAGATTTGAATCATCCGGTACTCCTGTTGTTCCCAAGAGGAACAATTAATAATTCTGGCCAGAGATAGAGAGGATATGACGATTTCTAGGGGAGACCATAAAAGATTCATTTGATAGCAATGCATTGATACTCCAAGAATAAAAAAAAGACAGCCATCTATGCAGCTATAACCACAACTGCATAAGGTAAGACTCCCCCAAATCTGCAGGAGTTACTTTCCCTGGGCAGACTGTGGCTATCTGATTATCTGAAACTGCAGACATGACCAAGAAACATGAAATTGACTTCTGGTTCCAGTATATCACAGAGTTGTCCTGGAAGACACAGAAATTTCTAGAGATGTATACTCTGTAGGAATTTGCTGGGTCCTCCAGAGCAACTCTATGGCTATAGGCACCTTACTGTACACATAAATTTATCTATTCCAAATGGGAAACTTGATTTTTAAAAACTTGCAGTTATAGTCCAATAATGAATCTGGGTACTCCATAAACTAAAGGCAGCAATCTGTCCAATCCAGGGTTTTGCAATGGGTATTGTTCTGGACACCAGTGCTTCACAAAAGGATACTCATGATACTGCTAAGAAACTGCTATTGGGGCCTCTTGGTCACTTCCCACCACTAACATCAACAGCTACATTGTTTATGTTTTCTAGTTTAGGGATTCGGCTAATCCCTAGACTGGAAAAAGAGCTTTCAGTCTCTACTGGAATGAAAGAACTGTATGAAAGTTGCATACAAATCAGAGGCCATGACGATGTAGTTGTCCAGATGTGGTTGGACTGCAACTTTCATCAATGCGTGATGAGGGGTGGAAGTTGTAGCTCAGCAATATATGGGGAGCCACAAGTAGTTCACTCATGTTTAATACCATGCATCCTAATGTTTCATGTTATACTATGCCTGCTTCCGTTAGTGAAGTGAAAGAGACTATTTGCTTAGAAAGGATGAAGAAAAGAAAGCAATGTCTTCTTTTCAGAGCACAAATAAAGAATTTATGTATTTAATGCATGAACTAGAGAACAGGAAAAACCACTCATCTTGATTAGGATGATAATACTTCTCTTACCCTGTAGTCATACGTAGCGTCTGGGTTTTCATCACAGGCAATAACTTCTGGGGCCATCCAGTAAGGCGTTCCAATAAATGTATTTCTTCTACCAACTGTCCTGTCCAGTTGAGCACTAACACCAAAATCCACTACATTCATTAAAAACAGAGGGGGAAAGAAAAGAAAAAACCTTGAAATCAGTTCTCCAAGTTTACTGACTACATATCGTAACTTTATACAAGGTAAGTCATCAATTAAAATGAAAAGAAAAACAGATGGAGTCTTTGTTTTCCATTGACGTTGTGCTCAGCAAATCATTACAATATAGTCTAGAGCTTTTCAATACTTCTTGCCCATTTTCAAGCAATGCAGCTTTCATTCAAATGTAACACCCATAATAAGTAAGACTGCAAGTACACTGTTCACTGTTATGTCTATTAGTCAGCTAATACTCTCTTCTGTAACCAGGCTGTGATGTAACATTAATTGCTATTGTATGGTAGAATAGCAGACATCAAGGAATATGCTAAAAGAAAGGAAAAACAGGGTAATTAACTTACCAAGTTTCACCTCTGCGTTTTCTGTTAACAACACATTCTGTCCTTTGATATCTCTATGAATCACGTGATGGGCATGAAGATGTGCCAATCCCTGTATTTGTTATGAGAAAAAGACAGAACATAGGATTTTGTTCTCTTGACTGCAATTCAGTGCAACTACATTACAAGTCCCTATTGTACTGCAATCAACCTTGGTAGCCTTTTTTGCCCTGTGTACTTGAACATGGTCAGTTTTAGATGGTTAATAAACCATTGCCAACATACTCTATGTTAGTAAAGCGTAAGAAACATTTCTAACAATTTTGCATGCATTCCACATAAAACAACAGCTGTACATCACATGCCCTTGTCAGTATTGATGGAATTTGTAGAATATACGAAATCTTAGCTAAACTTGCAGGGATGGTGGCATAGTAAAACAAATTAAGTCGCGGAATGCCCTTAAATACCAAAGATAGAAGACGCAAAGATGTATCCTTTCACTAGGTGAAACACAGAATGCTTCCTTGTATAAAAAAGGCTAAAACACGAAGCAATCTTTATGCAGAAAAGGGAATGATTAAGAAGAAAATGCCATAAGGACCAAAGAGGACATTTTTTTTAAAAATGGTACGGCATGTTGCTACCTGAAAGAGGATGCTTACTTAAATAACAGGAAAAGTGAATCATCTGCTTAAATTGTTGGTAAATTTCTTCCTTAAGGCTTGTACAGTTCTGTAGATAATCATACACATGAATAAAAAGTGACTCTGAACATTACCAAATATTTGGGCTTGAGGAAGAGGACAGGAAATCCAACTGGTTCATACTTCCTGTTCCCTGCAGTTCTATATGATCTATAGAGTTTTGCACAATCGTTCTGCCTTACAGAGGTATACATATTGGCAACATTTGCTTCCTACTTTGTTGGAGGTAGCACTGGGGGGTGTGGTGGGAAGAGTGGGAGAAGAGATCAGTCAGTTCTCAAGAGCACAGAGAACAGGAAGCATGAATCATGCAGACTTCCTTTCCCCCCAGCATTAGGTAACATGCAAAACTAGTCCAAGAGATAATGTTAAGTTCCTATGGGACATCTACTAAATAGAATGTACATTTTGATTTTGACAAATTACAGAGACATATGAAGTCATGTCTTTGAAACTCTATAAAGAAATTATCCAGGCCTGAAAAGAGTGATTTGCTTGGTCTCCTATGACAAGTGTCACTGCCTCCAGGCAACCGGCAAGGAAAGCTTTGGCTCAGCATGTTTCTTTTTTCTTTACTTTTCAAGGTATATCAATGACTACAGAAAACTCTGAATGTGGCAAGCGAGTAAAAGTATCTATGGACCAGTAATCTCTGCTCCCCCCCCCCCCATATAAACATCTCTAAAAATGGAGCACATCTTAGAATCGCAGGTATATCATATGTAATTTTGTTGATGGTGGTGGTACTGAAATTAGTGTGCATCTTACAATTGACAGCATTTTACAGTTAATGAACTATGGCAATACTATTTCTCAGAATGAGAAACCTGACCTCTAGGATCAGAGCAAAGGAACATGTTGCCTCCCAGATGATGTCAGACTTCAAATTCTAATCCGTCCTAGTCAACATAGCCAAGGATGAGGGGTGACATCTATCAAGATCTAGAGGGCCACATGTTCTCTATTCTGTAGTCCTGGAATACAGGACTACAGAAGTAGTGCTATTCATTACTAAAGAATAATTTGTCTAAACCGGTATGGCAGCAGGTACATGTAGTCTTGGATATAGGGACTTATATATTCAAAGGCAAGTCTGATCTCATCTAGACTTTTTGCAGGTATGGCATAGCTGCGCCCAACTTTCATTATGTGGGCAGAAGCACTGGCCAGTTTTTCTTAATTGTAGTCTTGCCTGATACACAAGCAACACCTGCTCTGGGATATAACAGATCAACCCACTGTCATATATGTAAAGTAATATCTTGGATTCAGCATCACAAAGCAAACAATACCACAAAAGCTCAGATACAATGGGTGGTGTTGGGCACACACTGGTATTGATAACATTTCATCACCAAATAATTTACTGTCAAGACACCAATTTTGCCTTTGAAAGCCCTCACTGGCCCAGTACCATCCCTCCCTACAATTATACACCATACATAAATCTCTCCATTGCATGCCAACAACATTAGAAGCAAGGTTGTCTGTCATCTGCAGATGGTGTTCCCCTGGAAATGTCAAAGCAACTGATAAATTCCCTTTGATGTACCAGAATAGTTTTAATAGTTTTTTTTTAATTTAATGTAATGTGATCATAATTTTTTTCCAAATTATACATTGCTTGATGTGGGATTTGTGTCAAATAAGTAAGCTTTACATAAAGTAATGTGCCATTGGAAGAAGCAACACTGAATGTTATTCAGGCAAGATTCCCAAGTAGCCACCACAAGTGGAACTGAGGCTGTAAGCATAAATTAGGGATTTCCTCACATCATGAAAATTGTGATGAGGCAACGCTTTGCCACTACCCTATGCTCAAGACATTGGGTTAGACCAAGTGCTGATAATTTCTCCATTCTTAGTACAAATGTTACCTTTACAATATACAAAACAGAGAATATCATTGGTACAATATTAAATAAGATACATCAGCATGAATTCTTTTAATATCTCAAAGCAGCATTTAATGTTTGTATAGATCCTATGTAAAGGAGAAAGAAAACAAAGATGTAGCATTTTATTTTCCACTACAATAGTGCAATTCATTAAAGAAATAAACATATCTGTCCATGCATTTTGTCACTGTTTTCGCTGTAAACCTTGGAAAATTTTCTGTATTCTAATGGTACCTACTAAACATTCCCAGATTTTTTAAATAAATGAAACTAATAGCAAATACTATAGTTTTTAATGGACATAACCTGTACTGAAATTATAACCTACCAGTTGATTTAATTGCATGCTTTAAAAATGATTTAATATTCAAGAACTGAGGGTCATTACTTTCCCATGTCAGGTTACAGTTATTCATTGCCAAAGGCCTACTACAAAGTTAATGCAGAACCTTAAATCACATCAGTTTAAACAGAATAATATATTGGAGTGTTTTCGTTTTCCTTACCCTGAGAATTTCTCTAGAGATGTATGCTATCCAGTCTTCTTTCAAAGTATTTCCTTTTGTATTCTTCACCAGGTCAGTAATAGAACCTGCACCACAGAACTCCATGACAAGCTGCAAAAGGGCAGGACGCAAAAGGAATCACTGAACACTTTTAAGATCATTCCAAATATGTTCTACGTATGAGATCATTATTATATAATTCATTGCACTGCATCAAAGTTTACTGGACTACGAAGAAAGAAAGACAAGAAAAGGACAAACGGAGACAGATCATAATCTGAACTTTAATATCAATGAAGTTTTATCTTGCCTTCATAAACAAGATCATACAATAATATTATCCTATCATACAAAAGAATAGGCTGATGTCAGGATTTTTTAAAATAAGAAATCGATTTAACTCATACCTCTTTACACTGCAACCTTACATTGACTTAGCAAGAGCAAGTTCACGTAAAATGAATGGGACTTACTAATAAGTTCATAGATTTGCAATACAAATGGTTTACTCTTAGAAAATACAAAAGTGAAGCCAAATCTATTCATCCTCAGATATGCCAAGCTTTTCATATTTACATAAAGTAAATTGGCTTTATTCCCAGGGAGTTTTCCTAGTTTACTGGTTAATAGGACATTTTGCTGAACCTCAAGCATTTCAATATTCTTGAGAAAGCTATGTAACATAAAAATGCTATTTGATTTTGTTTTGTTTTTTACAATAGGAAAAAACATTCATTTTCACATCTTGTTTATTTATCTTGGTACCCACAAATTAAACTTGAGATGTGTCATGCATGCCTGGGATGGATATACTTACCCACAGCTGGTCATCATGTCCTGGAGGACTTTTCTTAATGAAAGCACCATAATAAGTTGCTATATTTCTATGATGGGAGTATTTCTTCAACATGTTTATTTCCAATTTGATTTCTTCTTCTTCATCCTTTAGGGAAAAACAAAAATGCAGGAATACATATGTGATATTTGCAGAAAACTTTAAATACTTTTCTCCCATTAACCTTGCAAAGCGAGGGAGAATTCTGTAAAATGGGTTGCTGTGACTTTTCTGGGCTATATGGCCATATTCCAGAAGCATTCTCTCCTGACGTTTTGCCCACATCTATGGCAGGCATCCTTAGAGGTTCTGTAAATTCTGTATCCAGTTTTAGCTGTAGTAGTGAAACTCCCTAGCTGCACCTCCTGAACATAACAATCTCTATAGGATTAAGTGCATTATTATGCTTAATTAGGTAAGTAATTATGTGTTTATGCAAATTTCCAGTGATTGAATAAGACAAAATTTCTTGAAATAAGGATGGTTCCCAGGCTAAAAACATAAAAATAAAACCTGAACGATTAGCTATATTCATGATGTAAGTGTTTATTAGTTATGATTCACCTGCTTCAAAAAGAATTATTCCCAGCCAGCTGATATAAGTAATTTGTCACCCACAATACGGAATAGAATGGTTTGCTCTTAATCCTATGGGTGTAAACACCTTTAAATCTTATAACACAAAGACAATGGCAAGGGATAACTGACAAGAAAACTTCCCTTTCTGGCTGCCAGAGCATCCACTTTTACTAAAGGGAGTGTTCAAGTCTACTCTATAATTCCTGGATCCAACTGACATTCCACCATACATACAACCTGCAAAGAATCAACCAAGAGAGGAAGACAGTGTTTAGAACTAAACGAAATTAAGGTACACTAACAGAACAAAGCACTTGCAAGTCAGGTTTAAAAGAGACTGTTTAGCTAAAACCTAGGTCTAATACGTATACAATAAATGTGTGTGTGGGGGGGGGGGGCGGGGACGGGGGGACAACACACCATAGATATGCTTTATTTCTATCTCTGTTTATTAGCTCAAAATTAAGAGTGAGATTCTGGGATGCAGAAACAGTTAGTAAAATCATTGTCATTGTGCTTTTAATGCAATTAGGCCTCAATTACAAATTTAAGTTTATTTGGTCTCAAAGTAGACCAAGTAGACTTAAAGTGGTAATTGATGCCCATCTACCTGGTCTACATATATTTGCAACACAAGTACTGTTTTGTGGCAGACCATCAGATAACGGAGAGGAACGCCCATCAACTATATTTTCCATGTTACAAATATATTCTACAAAAGGAAATTCCCATAAATATAATCCATGCATTTCCAAAATGTATGCTTGCAGTAGCAAGCATGTCTATGTAATAACAGTAAGGTTGGCAGAGTGAAAAATGGGAGAGGATTTCTGTACCAGCAATAGTTGAGCAGAATAGAGAATTCCAACATTACATAGTCCTGAATATTACATAGTTGCATGACAAGAAATACCTGATGAATTCCCTCTTCTACACAACCTTGACCAGTCTCAATATGACAATCTTAAATATTCTATCTGTATAACAGTTCTTCTTCATATAGACAAAGACACATAAAAAACATCTGACTAAAAATTAAATATGTTATAGTGACATCTGGTGGTACTATACTGTTGTGTTTTAATGTTTGTATTAAAAATACAGTAGAGTCTCGCTTATCCAACCTTCACTCATCCAATATTCTGTCTTATCCAACACAGTCTGCCTCCCGCCCAGATCCAAAGCTGTTTCAATACATTGCGATGTTTTGGTGATACATTCATAAATACAGTAATTACTATATAACGTTACCGTATATTGAATTGCTTTTTCTGTAGATTTGTTGTAAAACATGATGTTTTGGTGCTTAGTTTGTAAAATCATAAGATAATTTGACATTTAATAGGCTTTTCCTTAATCCTTCCTTATTATCCAACATTTTCACTTATCCAACGTTCTGTCAGCTTGTTTATGTTGGAGAAGCGAGACTCTACTGTAATTCAAAAATATATGTACAATACATTACACAGTACAACTTTTGCATCTGTGGGGCTGGTACATGTAGTTTAATTTATCCATGCCTGACATAATATGTCCTCTCTAGGCACTTTCCAAGTCATTCTTCTGCCAAAAGTCCTTCATTTCCACTATATCTGTGGTTCTGTGTTCCCAAACAAAAGTCCAGGAACATATTCCTTACAGGATATAGGGAACATACCATAATTTATTAGTACCTCTGTATTCGTACTAATCCATCTCCCACACAAGACTACATGCTGAGTGTCAAGTATGTTCTCAATAACTGTTATACAGACTTTGAATATTTTTTTTTATTTTTAGACACTATGACTAGTTTAAAGTGAGTATGCAATAATTAATTATAAACCAAAATACAAGTCAAAACAACACAATGCAAGAATGAAACAGAAAGGGGTCCCTCAAACAACATAAAGTATAGGGTTCTATTCTCTTTATAACATCTAAACATTATGGCACCTTAATGACTGAAAACATTTATCTCAGCTTATGTGGACTTGAGCCCAGTTTTTTTAATATGTCTAGAGAGTGTTATCCATAATTTTAGGTATAATAATAAGTCCTGCATTGTTTGCCATCCACACAGGACTTTCCTGGATGGGTTTTAAAGCCAGCCGGAGTCTGATGCTGACATCTGCATAGCAAATTAACTACCTGTAACAGTATCTGTGGAATGACAATAAAATACAGTAAGGATAAAGATGAAAGGGAAACTTAGAACAATAGACGGGATCATAAGCAACGCCTGCAGCTCACATTATACAAATACTATGCTGAAACCCTTTCCATCTGGAGCCAAAACACTTGTACAATATCTGTGTCTGATAAAGCAAGCACCTGCTGCAATTTTCATAATAATGGGGTTTTCCTCTCCCACTTATGTTCCATTTGTCTCACTGTGCCTCTAATTTTTCAGCACTTAGTGGCACAGTCTCTAGTATGGAGGGAACAAATGAAGTTTGGTCTGTGAAATACAATTAGCTCTCCCACTCGCCTCCCTCGCTCCCACCCCACCAGCCGCTGCAAAGAACGCAAGGCCCGTTCATGGAAAATAAAAGCAGCCAAAGATGGTGTTACTGCACATGGAAACCACATCTGTTTTTCTCCTAGCTGTCCAGATAACTTTGACCACAAATGACAGGCAGAAATCAAAATTAAGTACTTTTATGTCCTAGGGATTTTAGTGGAAAGGATTTAAGCACTGGCTTTTCCTTTGAAATCAATGGCACATCATTGCTTGTTTTGAAAGTGAGAGCAAAAAGAGGGAGAAGAACTTTATGACAATGAAAGAGACCAACATCTAATAAGATGTTGGAAGTAACTAGTTTCAAATAATTTGTCATTCATAATTACATTTCAGTAATAAAGATGTAAGCAAGTAAACATTCCAACTGTAACACATTGGAGGAGTACCTCACTCTTGTGGTGTAACTAATTTTGTTAAATTTTATCATCAGTTTCATAAGAAAAATTGATTCAATGGTCCACTGAAGGGATAGATACCAGTCAGAAGTTGACGGACACATTGGGGACTTTGGAGGAATGCAATGCCTACCGACCCATTCATCTTTGTGCTGGCTGAACTGCTGACCAAAAGGTTTGACTCAGGGGAGCGGGGGGAGCTCATGTCTGTTAGCTCTAGCTTCCCATGCAGAGACATGAGAGAAGCCTCCCACAGGATGGTAAAACACCTGGGCACTCCCTGGGCATTGTCCCAGAATTCTGCAGGAGGCAGAAACTGGATTTAACATGGATTCATTCTCTAGTGTGATGAAGTAAAAATAGATCTTGTTTTAACTCTAAGAAACTGGACCCCAAATTCCTTCCAAGCACATGCAATAGAACAATTTCACATGTTTCCACATCCCCTGGGCTGTTTTATGCCCATTAGAGGCCTCTCAGAGTGATCCCAATCCACATCCTACTTAAAGGGGGATCTTTTGGACCAAAGAAAAAGCCCAGGACCTCTTCCAAAACTTAGCTTAAATTGCCTCCATGTCCCTTTGGTACTCTCAAAAATATTTCATTAATAGCTTTCCTCCCCAAATGGGGAGTGGGTGGGTAAAAGCACACTTCCAGGCTTCATGAAGCCCAGTCTTAATTGCTAGCTGTGGGAATGGAGAGGAAAAGGCCTGCAGCCTTTTACTTTTGTCACTGTTCTCCAAATGGACAGAACTAGCCTACAGAATTCTTTTTAAAGAAACAAAAAGAATAAAGAATTATAATCCTCCGTATAGAAAGAAAATTCCTGCCTTTTCGATAACCAGCTGTTCTGACAAAGAACAGGCTTTACTTTAAAAGTACTAATTTTTTAATTGTTCTTTTGTATATCTGTTGGCACTGGGGGCAGCTGTGGGCATATTATTATGCCGTTCTATTATTAATCACTCATTAAGCCACTGATTTTTTAAAAATCATTATTTGCATGTAATTATATATAATGTTGGTTTCTAAGATGGAAATGGACAATAACTTCTAGAAAATCCCAACCAAATGGTAGTCCAAAAATAAAATTTCCAAGCAGTAGACATACTAGACTAATAAAAATATGTTTTATACCTATGCCTAGAGCTGTGCTTAGAGATTGAATGATTCAGTTATAGTCTTTATATTAACTGTTATAATTGCTTCTTAAAAATGCAAGAGAAAGGTTACATGGTAAGTAACTACTTGGAGTGTTAAGACCATAATCTGTTTTTAAAGTAACTTAAAATGTTATGCTTTTAACAACTTACTGATAAGAAAGCAAGAAAACAAGAAACAACTGTGCATGAATACAAAAAAATGCCCTTAAATTCCAGGAAAAACAGAAAGACAACAAAAATATATGTGGGTAAGAAAAAGACTACGCTAATAATCTCGATGTTCCTGATAACATGGAATGTCTCTCTTTTCATTCTGATCCTTTCTAAAACCTACGGGTTTCGTTTTTAATTTAATTTCTCTATTAACACATTATTGCACTACATGCAGTATCAAACTGCAAAAAGACTGTGGGAATTAGGTTACTGTATCAAAGAGTAACTACTTTGCATATTTCGTATACAGCATTT